ATTAGCAAAGAGACCTTCCTACTAGCTGTTACACGGGGGTCGGCTATACTTCTCTGGTCTCGGTCCGGGTTAGGGCGAGTAGACTAAAGCGGTAGTCCGTGTGATTGTTTGCGAAGTGCTATGTGGAAAAGAGTTATAGGATTCAACCAAAAGAATAAACAATTAATTCTATACTAAGATAGAATAACTAGTAATAATCTGTGTAAGAGATGAACTATTCTAAAGTTGACCACAACGAGTGTAATAATGAAATCCAACCCATTCTTATACCCATTGCCTTAGGTCCTGCCATCTTGTCTATCTCTCTCACGCGAGATGGCACAGATGGCACTGCCATCTGGTTTCCTGCTGCCATCTCAGATGGCCAGCCTTGGCGAGATGGCACATCACGTGACCCCAAGCCCCGCGATGATCATTACCTTCTGACGTGGACGTCCATAGGCTCCCTGCCTTCCGTCTGTTTGTCAAGGAAAGAATCCTTCCTGTTACCTCGTAACAGAGAGTTAGCTTTAAAATAAGAACTTAAGTTTAGTAACGCTACTAATTAATACTACTATAACTACTCTTATAAGCTAGTTTATTTATCTTTTTTACTTATTTTTATTATAAAACTTTACTAAGTTTATTATATAATATAAGCCTTTTTATACTTATTATCAGCTTTTACGCCTCTCTTTTAAGAGGCTTTGAAGCCTTATTTACCTTTTTAATCTAGAGAGTAGTACCTTTTTTTTGTTATAGTCTCAAGCCTTTACATATAGTAAGAACTATTATAGTTATATATAAAGTAGCTTTAAAATATAAATTTAGAGTAGCTCTTTTACTACTTTCAAATAACACTTTTAGGAAAGACTTTATTTAGGCGTTGCTATATATAATAGCAACTATAAGAGTAGTTAAGAATAATAAAAGTCTCATTTAACTAAATAATATTCTTTTAATTTTTAAGTATTTAATCTTTATAAGTATGATACTACTTAAGGTTTTCTTATTTGATCCTTATTATTAACTTGAGCTTTTTAATTAGCTTTATTTTATCATAACTAGCTACTGAAAGAACTGTTTATATAGTAGATAATAAAATATTATGGCTATAAATACTAAAATTACTAGTAATACTCGTATAGCTTTTTTTTATTATACTTATTATAGTGTATATATTTAAGAGTAGTATTATATACTTTTCTTATTTACAATATTAGCCCATATATAGGGCATTTTTAAGGTACTATAGAAGGATTTTAATTGAGTGTATATTAGGCTTAAAGCCTTACTAGTAGACTTTACTATAAGTTAATTATACGTAGTAATATACATATTATTCTTATAATTTTGCGTATAAATCTACTACTAAAAGGTAACTGTAATATAATAATAAAAGAGTAAGTTAATATATCTATATTTAGAGCTATAGTTAGTTAAAAATACTTAAAGAATAAGTATATAAGCTATTGCTGGATTTAAAGAATTAGTGTAGGCGCTAAGAATAGTTAGGCTAATAGGCTAGTAGCTTAGCGTGGCGCTAGCAAGAACTTTTGACAGTCACCTCCGTAAGCAAGTAAGTAAGTACTGAAGTCTCTTCTAACCCCACCGATTTGCCAACTTCCTATTCCGGTACTAGTAACGGGCGCGAACAGCCCCCGGGACCCCTGCCAAGTGACCACATCAACTGATAAGCAATACCAAGCATTGTCAAGGAATGTGATCCTATCCCTCGGCTTTCTTCTTCTTCTGCTGTCTTGCTCTTTCGCTGTTTTTCTTTTTCTCCTGCCGGATTTAGGGAAGGGGGGTCAGGGGGTCCTTGTAGAATTATTGCGTGTGCGGTTTTTTGCTGGGGTTTGGGAGGGACCATGGAGACTATGTGCATGCGGCCGGGTGGGGAGGGGGGGGGCTCGCTATGCGCTGTTGGCTGTCAACGGGCAGAACCTGGGCTTTTTTCTTGTTGGATGTTGCACCCCAGGAAAAAAAAGGATGAGGGGTGGTGATCGGTGCGATTGTCAGCGAATATTACTGTTGTCATCTGGAGTGCTGTGTAGGGCTGTGCATTGTCGCCGCGGGGATAAAAAGAAGACCTGCAACGGGGCATGCGGATAAAGCGCGTACATTGAGGAATTATTGCTATCGTCTCTTGCGTTACAGAGGTGGCTTTCAAAAGTTCTTGCTGACAGGGGTTCCTTGGTTACCACCGAAAATATAGCCGAAGACTAAGAATTATACTATATTCGCAACTAAAAGCCCTTAAAATGGAAGTTTGGAGAGAACAATAGCTACTAAAGTATACACTTACAGTAATACACTAACTATATTAGGCATTATTTCTTGCACGCTAAGTAAATAATGGAAACGTTATCACGAGAATTCGGTCCGATGGATCCGCGCCTTAGCAAGAACTTTTGAAAGCCACCTCTGTACACAGGGCGTTGTTGGCTAGAGCAGAATGGAGGCCCGATAGTCGGCCTAGAAAGGCAGGCGCACATCTCAAAACCATCCAACTATATTTGTCCATGGGCCCCCCCCCACGCAAACAAGCTATCCAGTATTTGGCAGTTCCGAGCAAGTCGAGCTATTGATGGGTACGGGGATATTTGGCTCCAGGGTATCAAGTGCCCTTTCTCTTCCAGCACATTGGTAGCAGAGCTACTATGTTTCGCTTTTCCTTGTCCCTATTCGGCCAAACATATGGGGCTCGTGGTGCAGCGCAGCGCTTACGATGAAGATCTGCAATTCGCAGCATGCTGCTTGGCCGTATCCATATCGTACGCCCGTTCTTAGTCCGCGCAGCAAGGCATGTCGAGGGCAGAGATAGCTGCACCTTGCGGCTGACCAGGTCCATTAGGAAGGTCGTGATGAGCATGCACCGGGTACTATGACACGGTAGTTGTTCAGGGCGACGCTCTCGACATGACAGAAGCGGTTATCGAGTGGCGTGTATAAAAGGATAGGGAATTCCTAGTTGAACAAGACAGCTCGGCCAGCATCAGCATCAGCAACAGCAGGAAAGCCAAGCAGTACTTACTTTTCACTTCATCAACCTTTCCGGAACTACAAAGTTCTCTTTCCACATCCACCATGAAGTTCACTCTTGCTCTCGTTGCCGCCATCGCCGGCTCGGCCATCGCCCGTCCTACTACACTCGCCGACCGTGTCAAGTCTCGCCGCGACGGAAACACTAGACACAAGTCCCACCCCAACATCAAGGTCGGATCAGCCACCAAGGAGAATGTCAAGTTCATCGAGGGCGAGTCCAACTCCACCGCCCATGTCCAATACTCGAGCAACTGGTCTGGTGCCGTGCTCGAACAACCAACCTCGGGCTACTTCACCTCTGCCACTGGCCGATTCAACGTCGTTACCCCCACGTACGCTGGCGACAGCGACTCGGAATCAGCCTCTGCCTGGGTTGGTATCGACGGCGACAGCTGTGCCTCTGGCCTCTTGCAGGGAGGTATTGACTTCACTGTCGACAGCTCTGGCGACGTGTCCTACGACGCATGGTACGAGTGGTACCCCGACTACGCCTACGACTTCAACAACTTTGATGTCAACTCGGGCGACATTATCCAAGTCGACATTACTGCTACCTCGACCACGCGCGGCACTGTGCGCCTGACAAACACCAGCACCGGTAAGAGCGTCAGCAAGACCCTCAACGCCCCGAGTGGCTCCACTCTCTGCCGCCAAAACGCAGAGTGGATTGTCGAGGACTTTGAGTCTGGTAACAGCCAGGTTGCATTGAGCAACTTTGGCACCGTCACCTTTACCTCGGCCAGTGCTAGTCTGAGCGGTGGTGGTAAGGACGACCTGAGCACCGCCACCATTCTTGATCTCAAGATGGGCGGAACTGTTTACACCGATGTTACCATCGACAGCAGTTCGCAGGTTAGCGTCAAGTATATCTAAAGGGTGATTGGAACCAGTTATGAAACGGCAACCCGGTCGTCGGCTGGAATAGCGAGAGAATAGCGAGTGTATATACTTAATCTATGAAACAGGCTAGTAGGGTTGGGAAAATCACAAGCATTTTCTTTCCGACGACTTCTTTGCTGTGGTGTCGTGAAACTATGGTCCAGTTACTTTTCTTGACCTATACATGCGTCGATAAGTGATGTAATCTTCAGTCTGCAATGAGCGGTTAGATGATGCAGGACAGGCTATGCGACTCGACAGATTCAATCTTGGTTGTACTGTAGGCCTAGACTCTGCTGAGTCTGCCATGATGTTGTGATATGCCTCGAAGATAGACAGCGTGTGAAGGGGCTTGGCAAAGTATGCTTCTGAATATAGCATTACTCCAGAAGGGCTCGACGCATGCGTATCTCGGAGACCATGGCTTTTGGCTGCATTGAGAATACCACTCGTCTGTATTTGGCCGTATCGACACCGAGAAAAACCCGCGCAGTTATATGAAAATGACAATGCCCAGCGACAGTAGGACCGTCGACGGGATTGGAGCTAGATATGGGCAAGTTGACCGGGATGGGGGAATTTTTCACTTGCTAGGCTCGGTCAGACTGGGCGGTAGGAGTCGCTTATCTAGTTAGTATAGGCGTTAGCAATCTACAATGGGGCGTTGTGGCCTACCAGAAGTCGAGAATGCAGTCGAGGAGCTCGGGTCGATCCGCCGATCCGTGCTCCAGTGGTACACCTAGATAATACGCTTTAATCGAAACCAATAAATCGGCTCAAAGATTGTGCCTGGGCACAGGTTGTGTTGCGGTGAAGAACCTGTCCAACGTGTGATGGGCTGGCTTCAAGTGGGTGGACAAATGCCTCACGTGTACTACAGGGCCGCGTACTGCTACCGGCTTCAGAGTGGACAGGTACCCGCCGCGGAGAAGAGCGAATAGACGTGTGGCTCAGCCAGAGGGCGGGTAGTGTCGTGGAGGCGCCACACAATCAGCGCCACGACGACGCGCATCGTGTACATTGACCAGGGTCACGAGCTGAAAGGGCCAAAGTCTAAATTGCGCACCTGTACGGTGTAGATGCGATTGCGCGGCAGCCATGTGGGCACATGACGGATCAAGGGACTGGCTGCAGGTGTAATTTGGATGGTGAATGCTGCGCGACAGCATCTGTGGCTGCGATCTAGATCGTCGGGTTGCAGCAGGGGGGGTGTGGTGGGACATTGCAGTGGGTGCCGGCGTGGGTGGCTGGATGGTGGATGCAGATGTGCATGCCAGCCATCGTGATTGTGTTGAGAAGGGCAAACATGTGAGGGCCGTCCGAGGCACGACCCGCCGGGTAGGGTGGAGGGTGTAGGGTGTGGGCTCCTGGTCGTCTGCTTGATATCAGAGGAGTCGCCTGCGCGCCTGCTTGAGTCGAGCGTGGCCCTGTTTTTATCCAGTGTCGAGACGAAAGGGGCAGAGAGGACCGACAGGGCAGTAGGTCCGGGGTCGATTGACGTAACGTGTGCGCCGTACCGCTTCGACGACGATCGCCAGCGACGCGCTCGCTTGGCAATACGTTCCCGCTCGCTCCATTTGACAGCCAGCCGTCTTGCGAATTACACTTCTGCTTTTGCGCCGGGCTCGGTAATTCCCTTGGTGTTGTGTGGTGGGTGCACAGCCTGCTCTTGTGCCGCCGCCGCCCCCCCCCCTCTTGCTCCCGCATCAGAGGCATCCATGGCGGGCATCGCGAGGGCAAGTGCAGTCGCCGTTGAGGCTGAGCGTGGTGTTGGAGAGTCGAAAGAAGCGTGCTCCAGGGCCCAGACGGGTCGAGGCGGCGGGTGCGAGGCAGCTGAGAGCGAGATGGTTGGGTCTTGGGGGCGTGGGCGTGGGCGGCATAGGGCCGACTTGGTTGTAGGTAGCAGTAGTGCTGGGCGCAAGGGCCACGACGTCACACTAGAGCAAGCCTGGCTGCCCTCCCAAGTCCCCGTTTATTTCTACTGACTTGTCGCGTGCAGGGAGCCTCCTACTTTTTCACCTGCATATCTCTACTCCTCTCCTCTCCTCCCTCCCTCCCTCCCCCCAGAGGCTGCGCGCCATTGCCGCTTCGCCCACAATGTCGTCTACCGTGAGTCTGCCGCCAATTGCTGCTCCCAATCGCTCGCGCCCCGTGCATTAGCGCCGCTGACCATGCTCATTACCACAGGGCGGTGAAATTGGCAAGGCCAAGAAGGAATCCAACAGCTCCGTATCCAGCTTCGTCTCGACACTCATCCCCGCGGCGCTGCTCGCCTTTGCCTTTGTGACGGCGTTTTTCATCGCCCGCAAATATTTCCGCAGAGTGTACGCGCCCAGGACGTACCTCAACCATCTGGGCAAGCAGCGCCAGACGCCACCGCCCAGTCCAGGCCTCTTTGGCTGGATCAAAGACTTTGCAGGCCTCAAGGATGAATACATTCTCGATCACCAGTCCATTGACGGCTATCTGTTTGTGCGCTTCTTCAAGGTCCTGATCGTTACCAGCTTCCTGGGTTGTCTGATCACCTGGCCCGTTCTTTTTCCCGTCAATGCCACGGGTGGGGCCGGCCAAACGCAGCTCGACCTGTTGTCCATGAGCAACGTCGACCCCAAGGGCACCAATGTCAACCGCTACTATGCTCACGCTGTAATCACCTTCATCTTTCTCTCATTGGTCCTGGTCATCATTGGCCGCGAGTCTTTCTTCGTCGTCAACCTACGCCAAGCATACCGCCGCTCACCATGGGGCGCCAGCCGCTTGTCCTCGCGCACTATCTTGTTCACCAATGTGCCCACGGATCTTTCGCAGGCCGCCCTGTTTGAAATGTTCCCTGGTGTTAAGCACGCATGGGTTGCCTCAGACACCAAGGAGCTGGACGAGCTGGTTGAGGACCGTGACGAGACCGCCATGAAGCTGGAAGACGCAGAGGTTGAGCTGCTGACCAACGCCAACGCGAACCGCATCAAGGCCGAGAAGGGCAAGAAGCACTTTGTCGCTGCCGATGTCAATGATGGCACCAAATGGATCGACCCCAAGAAGCGACCAACACACAGGCTCAAGTTTCTGATTGGCAAGAAGGTCGATACTATCGAATATGGCCGCTCTCACCTCGCCGAGCTCATCCCCAAGATCACCGAGGAGCAGGACAAGCACTGGAGTGGCGAGGGCGATCTCGTTGGAGCCGTCTTTATCGAATTCGAGACACAGAGGCTCGCGCAGGATGCCTGGCAAATGATGCAGTCGAGGAAGACGAGGCCCAACAAGAAGCTCAAGGCACGCCAGCTCGGTGTTATGCCCCAGGAGGTCGTTTGGGGCAATCTGCGCATCAAGCCGGCCGAGCACCTTGTCCGATGGTTTCTGGCTACCGCTTTCATCACCGTCATGGTCATCTTTTGGGCCATTCCAGTTGCATTTGTCGGTCTTATTTCCAACATCAATTATCTGGCCGAGCGCTTCACTTGGCTCGATTGGATCCTGGATATTCCCAAGGTCATCCTGGGTGTGATCACTGGTCTGCTGCCTGCTGTCCTTCTTGCCGTTCTCATGGCCTTGGTTCCCATTGTGTGTCGCTTGATGGCCAAGCTGGCCGGTTATGTCACGTACAGCCAGATCGAACTCAAGACGCAGAACTGGTACTTTGCCTTCCAGGTTGTGCAGGTCTTCCTTGTCGCTACCCTGTCTAGCGCCGTCACCTCCGTCATCAACAATGTGCTCAACGACCCGGGCAGCGTGCTCACGCTTCTCTCGACCAACCTTCCCAAGGCCTCCAACTTCTACATCAGCTACTTTATCCTCTTGGGTCTGTCTTCGGCTGCCGGCACGCTGCTCAACATTGGTGGCTTCGTGGTCGTCGTCCTCCTTGGCCGTGTCCTTCCTGGCAAGACTCCCCGCAAGATTTTCGAAAAGCTCACCAAGCTTTCCGCTCCATCATGGGGCTCGGAGTTTCCAAAGTGGATCAACTTGGGCGTCATCGCCTTGACATACGCTGGCATCGCCCCTTTGATTCTCGGTTTCGCAACAGTCGGTTTCTCGCTCGTCTACATTGCCTTCAGATACAACTTCCTGTACGTCTACGAGACCGACTTGGACACTAAGGGTGATGCGTACCAAAAGGCACTCCGCCAGCTGCTCACGGGCGTCTATCTGTCCGAAATCTGTCTCATTGGTCTCTTCGCCATCGCCACGGGCAAGAACATCCAAGCCGTAGGCCCACTCATCATCATGTGCATCATGCTCTTTTTGACACTCGTTTTCCAATTTACGCTGAAATCCGCCCTCAAGCACGAAGAAGCACGCCTCGCGTACGCTGACGTCACTCCCACGCACGGCGGCCTCGTGCACCACCATGAAGAAGCCGGCATCAACGCCCCCAACACGGAGAAAAACGGTGCCACGGCCTCGTCGCCCACGCACGAGCCCAAGCCCTCGCGCATGCCCGCCTTCCTGCGCAACCTGCTCAACCCCGAAAGCCACTCTCTCAGCGCCCTATCCGCCTCGCTCGACCAATTCTACCACACGCCCCAGGACCCGCTGCCCACGGAAATCCAGAAACGAGCCTTCTTCAACCCCTCGATTACCAGTCCCACGCCCGTCATCTGGATCGTAAAAGACGACATGGGAATCAGCACGCGCGAGATCCAGGACTCGCAGAAGATTGTTCCCGGCCTCGTCATCACCGACGAGCAGGCGACGTTTAATGAAAAGGGCAAGGTCTACTGGCATGGTGTTGAGGATGGCCAGTCCAGGGAGGCCCCCGTGTTTGACGAGCGCATTGCTTATTAAATTGCATCCTACGGCCGTTGTTACATGCATGCATAGTTTATACCAAGTATGCGTTGTTTGAAGGATGGAAGATACCTGGAGTTTTATACCCCCACTCTTTTCTTTTCTTTTCTTTTTTCCTTCTATTCTCTATATATCCGCAGGAAACCAACACGTTTATTCAGCGTTCTTTTCTTTTCAATCTCCCCAACCCCCTGGGTTTTTCGGTGTCTTTCCCTAATAATGTTTCTTTTTTTTCTTGATGTCGATGCTAGCTCAGAAATAGCTTGGAAGAGAGCGAAAGAGAGAAAGACTGTAGTAAAAAAAGACCAAACAGACAGACAGAAAAAGAGACAAACCCACAACTCATCATCATGATAGTTTCGGTTTTTTTTTTCTTCTTCTTCTTGACGCAATCCGTCCCTGGATCAATCAAACACATGATATAGTAGGTAGAGTTAGTCAGTAATGAATATATTAGTAATGAAAAAAAAGCCATGCAGCATCAACCAGATATGCAGACCGAACATGCAAGATAAAGAGCTAGCTCCAGACACGACACAATAACACAACATAACATGACAACAGCCAGATCACTCACTCACTCAGATACTATCCAAAACATGCTGATTGCATTCTTTTCGTACATAATAATCATGTCGCACAAACGCCCCCTTACCATTACTACAAAACCAAACCAAACCCAAACCAGCATGACGCTACTAGGTCAATTTGAACGCAGCACTCGCGCCCTCAAACGCCTCGATACTACCGCCAACCTTCTTTGCATCGCCATTGTACTTGATGCGATACGTGCCCGCCTCGGGGCCCGTCAAGGCCGTGTCCCAGGTAATGGTCACGTCGCTGGTGCCAGTGAGGCCATTGACGCGTTTCCACTGGTAGACGAGATCCCAGTCGTCGTCGTTGCGGACTTGGGTCCATTTTCCGTCGGATGACTGTTTCTCGATGGCTGCAAAGGTGCCTTCGAGACGGAGGTTGTTGCGGGGGTTTGCGCCGACAAACGTGGCGCTTACCGTGGCGCCGCGCGGGTAGCTTGCCGACACGTCTTTGGTGACTTGGCCAAAGGAGCGGCCGATGCCTGCGCCGTCGTATACCACGCCCGTGATTAGCGAGATGCTCTTTTCGCGGAAGTCGGGGGGAGTGGGGCCGGCTGGGACAGAGCCCGTGGCGTCATCGGCAATGTAGGGCAGATATGTCAATGTGGAGTTGATGTAGGCGTTGAGCGTGTGTGGGCCGTAAAGAGTCGACGCACCCTCGTAGCGCTGGACACTGTACTCCTCCTCTGTGGCAATGTAGTGTGTGTATGTGTTTGCAGGTCCACCGAGCACGACAATTGGCGACGAGGCAATCCTGGATGAGACGACAGCGTTGTGTACTGCCTCGCGCCAACGGCGCCCAGACATGGTCGTGGCTTCACCAGGTGAGATGATCATGACAAACTGGCCAACGCGAAGTACCTGAATGTCGACAATGTTGGGAGACCACAGGTAGGGCACAGTGGCCTGACCAACATTGAGCAATATAGGCTTGGAATACTGGCACTCTTTTTGCGCCTTGCCTGGTGGAGAAATGGCGCTGCCGACAACGTTCCAGAACGGGTTGGAAGGCGCACCGGGATCATTTTGAACAAAATCAAACGCACCAGGTCCGTCGCTAGTACCGGCAGCAAACGAGTTGCCCATTGCAGCAGGGCATGTGCGGACGACGGATCCATTGCTTAGCGTAAAGGTGTAGTTGGAGAAGTCGACATAAGTGTGGAATGAGCGAACTTTGCCAGAGATGGACGTAAAGTCGGATGATTGGTAGATACCCTTGGCACCCTGAAACTGACGTTTGCCAATCTCGTAGCACGACTTCTCGCCACCGTCGTTGAGGCCAAAGTATGGACCACGGCCGTGGCAGTCCTGACTCCTACCTCCACATGTGCTGTCGTTGAGTCTGCACTGCTGGCCCGACCCATCTTCGCAGTAGGCACCGAGCACGTTGGGTGTCGTGTCGCCGACGTTGGCTTGTGAGAAGCCTGCGACAAAGCCTTCAGCAGCGTTGGCACTTCCTTCAATGTCCTGCTCGAACAGATATGCGGCGACACCCTTGTTGTCTCCAGCAATGAGCGTCTGGTTGCCGAGCAAGCTGGTGCCGTGAACCGCAAACCAGTTCAAGACGCCAATGTTCTTTCCGTCGCTAGCTCTCGTGAACTTGAGCAGCGTCATGGTCTTGTCTACATTGTCCGTGTAGCGGTCGCGCTCGGACTGGGGGTTTGCCAGGTACGCAAACAGACTGCGGTTGATGTTCGCATCGGCGATTTTGGCGCTACCAGCACTGACAGTTCCCAAGGTCAAGCCTTCGTGCGCCCTCTTGATAGACAGCAGCGTTCCGTCGACAATGGCTTGGTAGCTCTGCTTGTCGAAACCGAGACTGGTAATTTGTGGGAGGAGATAGTTGAGCCAGGCGCCCGGGCCGGAATGGCTGTGCGTGCCCGTCACGGCTACGTTGTTCTTTCCATAGACAGAGTACTCGGGGCCCATTGCCTGGAGTCCTTCGAGGATGCCATTCCGGACGGCAAGGTCTCCAGACTGAGTGTCGAGCACGAGATAGACGATACGCTCACTGGGCTGGCTGGGGTTGCCGATGATGAAGGCGCGCGAGTAGATGCGCTGGCGCAGCCCCGTTCCTTTCTGCGACGAGTTGGCATAGCCCATCAGGTTGAGCTCGACAACCGGACTACAGCGCGTTAGCGACGTCGCGAAGCTGGGCGTGTTGGACGTACCCGGTGATATCCGCCTTGCCGACGCCAATGAGGTACGAAGAGGCGTCGTTCGCAGCGCCGCCATCCTGCTTCTCGCTGAAGAAGGAATCCTGCTGGGCGCCCGTGTAGGGGCGGTCGAGGCGCGCATGCCAGAAGTCGACCGAGGGGAATCCCAGGTTGATGACGAGTTGGCCAATGATCAGAGACGCCACGAGGGCGGCGCCCAAAGCAACGGCAATGTGCGAGCGGGCCATTGTCGCGCTCGATACCAGGCGGGGATGGGTGTGGGAGTGAAGAGGAGAGGAGCGACGCGCTCACAGGGAGATGCGCGGTACTTGTAGGCTACGGGTGGCACATGTGTGTGGGCGTGAGCATGTCGAGGCAGGGAGGGCTGCTGTGCGAGGATGCTTGTTTGGCTAGTCGCTCGGCGAGGCTGGCGGGAGGGGCGAGGGGCGAGGAGCGAGGAGCGAGAGGGGCACAGGACCGGCTGCAGCGTGTGTGTATGTATCTCGAGTTGCGGCCTGCTGTTTCGGGCTGGCAGATGTTCGGGCGGAGGAGCTTCAATACTCAGCGGCGCATCGCACATCCATGACGTTGCGGGGCTGCTGGGCTCGTGGTTGGTGGGGAGGGCGGACAGGCCCAGAAGCTTAATTTTATCGGGGCAAGCTCTGCCTTCGCGACGTCCTGCACAGCCAATACACCAATTCTCCTGCCCCTGCACGTCGCTTGCCAGAATGCCTCTCATCCAAGCTTCCTACGACGACCTCCCTTGTACGTGTAGATTGCTGCGGCCAGGAACAGCGCCATGTCCGATGCGCCATGTGCTGGGGGCACTGCGCGCGTGATGGCGGCCGGAATCGCCTGCTAACTCGTTCCAGATGTTGATGCCGAGCTCGAGGCTCAACACCTGGCCGCCGCCAGGGCGGCCATTGACGCTGACATCCGGACCGCTGGCGTAGACGTCTCAGAGATGCATCCGGCCCTGATCCCCGCCGCCGCCAAATACATACCCGCCTTTTCCGACTTCATATCGCGCGAACATGCGCGACTCGACGACGACCCAACCTCCAAGCTGTCCGGCATCGACCTGAAGCGCTATGAAGATCTCGACGCGCCCGAGAACACGACGCCAACAAGCGACGAGCAGCGCCCGGAGCTGCTGGAGAAATGGAGCAAGGCGCTGAAGCAGGCCTACACCAGTTCCGAGTATGTCCAGGGCAGGCTGGCCCATCTCGGTTTGCTGGAGAAGTTTGGAAAGAACGCGTGGCTGGTCGGCAACTCGCAGCTCGAGGATATACTAAAGGGCATCGAGGCTGAGCTGGCCGGCCTGAGGAAGCAACAGGAGGAGACGGACATGATGAGGCGGTCGCAACAAGACAGCGTAAGCGGTGAGATCAAGACGCTCGAGGAAACGTGGAAGAAGGGCGTGGGGAGAGTGCTGGAGACAGAAGTCGCAGCCGAAGGGCTTAAGCAGCAGATTATGGAGAAGCGGAGGGCTGGCGCTGTTTGAGGCGCAATACGGTGCCATGTGATCTGGTACTTTATCATGATACCCAATACGATACATCTTGCAGGAGATCAAGATGGCTTTGACTATTCTTTACCAAGATATTCTTTGCTGTCACAGTCTAACTATGCCTGAGCTGATTCGGTGTGCACTTTGTTGATATAAAAAATAGCACAGGAGGCAGTGTACCTGAATGCTAGAACTGGGTCATGTCTGCGAATCACAGATGATGCAGCAACACAACACCAAGAGCTCTGCCACGAGTCTAGCGTGAAAACCAGGAAACCCCCCATTCCCATTATGTCTCTAGCCTACATGCACGCCCTCCTACTTCTACCGTCTTTTCATTCTTTTCCCTTTCATCTTCTTCCTCTCACCATTTCAAGATTTCCTAGTCCGGCGTGGTCGGCCTTGGCAACGCGCCTCAGCCTCCCCAAGTGAAAGCAGCCAAAAAGGCAAAAAAGGGGACAAGGTAACAGTTGGAGCACCGACCGAAACCTTATGAACACCGCTATGAGCGAGCAGTGACACAGAACAGGTATTCGAACCGACGCTCCCCCTACACTTAAATGGGGGAATGGAACTGGGCAGTGGTGCGTAGGGTGGTCCTGCAAAAGACCCAATACCGAGTCCCAACTTGATGGAAAATAGTAGATTCCAACGAGTTATATAGTAAAGGGAAGTGGAGTTTAGATGTAGTAGTATAATAGCGTTTTGCGGATTTTGTTATACAGGGTGAAGCTGTGGTTTGTGATGGCGAGCGCGGTGCAATCGCAAGTCTTGGAGGTGAAGGCAGTGAGAGATGGATGGGCGAAGAGGAGTGCATCGACTTACGCTTTGATGTGGTAGTAATATGGCATTTCCAAGACTTTGGCATGCTGTCTTGAAGAAGTGATGGGATATCATCCAAGTATCTGTGCATCGTGGTATATGCTGGCTCAGTCAGTGATGGCTGTACGACTGAGTATTGCAGCAACGTATCTACAAAACAGCCCATAGTGCAGACTATTGTCATGAACAAAGCTGCTGTCTACAGACTCTAGAGATCTTTGCATCTAACGCAATATAACTTCACGTCTTCGCATCTGCTGTATCACTGAACTCTCAGTTACCACAGTGAAGTAATTGCAGGCTTGTTCTATACAACCATGAGAAAGTTTATTCCCACTTAGCAACAGAACTGCTTCAATCATATTCAAGCGTTAAACACCACATGTATATCACGATCAATAGATATACAAAAGACCCGCTTTCACGCTCAGTCTACCAAGCACTCTCACTCCAACATCCTCCCATCTCGCCTCGACTTCCCTACAACAACAGCCCAAAAAACACCCTCAAACACTAACCTCAACTCCAAGCAAGCATCCGCATACCTTGAAAAAAAAAACGCAACCCGCCATCAACATGCAACGCATAAAGCCGCACTTCCACATGCAGCCTAGCCGCACCAAGCCCACGGACGCGGAACAACCCATGCGCCGAGCCTCGGCTCAACCCCAGGTTTCCAGCCCAGCGGCCCTTCGCAGCCGATGACGATCGATAACCGGGTGGCCGCCTACCACTCCTTCTCTTTCCTCTCTCTCTCTCTGCCATACTTGCTTCTCTTTACTTTGTTTTCTTTTTTTTAACTGCTACTACTGCTGCTATTGTTGCTCATACCCCAACACAACCAGTACCAGCACACGGCGAATCGAATCGAATCGAATCCAGCACCACCTCGGCACCATGGATACGGCCAGCCTGTTCGACGTAAAAGTATGTTTCCTTGTCATGCGCTACCACATCTACTACTTCCCAACAACAACAACAACAACAACAACAACAACCAACCAACCCCCTTTCCTCCAGTTATTATTCCTGTTACTTCTGGAACCCCCACAGGCTAACGATTAGATGGGGTGAACACAGGGCAAAGTGGTACTTGTTACCGGCGGCGCAAAAGGCATCGGGCGCATGATCAGCGAGGGCTTCGTGCGCAACGGCGCCACCGTCTTCGTGTCGTCGCGCGACGCAAAGGCATGCGAGGCGGCGTGCAAAGAGATGAATGCGCTGGGCGCTGGGACTGCGGATTTCATTGCTGCGGATTTGTACAAGGAGGATGCGGCGGCGTATATTGCTGCTGAGCTGGGGAAGCGGACGTCAAGTACGTTTTTTTTGTTTTGTTTTTCCTTTCCTCATCTGCTTTCTGTTTGAGGGAGAGAGCGAGAAGGGATACATAGAAAGAGAGACTAATGTGTGTTTTCCCTCTAGAACTCGACGTCCTCGTCAACAACAGCGGCAGCAACTGGGGCGAATCCTACGACAAATATCCAACCGCTGCGTGGGACCGCGTGTTGAACCTGAACTTGAAGCGCGTCTTCCAACTCACGCAGGCGGTAACACCCTTACTTGAAGCCGCATCTTCACCCGCCTCGCCCGCGCGCATCATCAACATCGGCAGCGTCGACGGGCTGCGCGTCCCCGCGCTCGAGACGTTTGCGTACTCGGCGTCCAAGGCCGGGCTGCACCACATGAGCCGCGTGCTGGCGAGCCACCTGGGCAAGCGCGGCATCACCAGCAACACGATTGCGTGCGGCCCGTTTCAAAGCAAGATGATGAAGGCGACGCTGGAAAAGTACCAGGATGTGATTGAAGGTGGGATTCCGCTGGGTCGCATTGGGATGCCCGAGGATGTGGCTGGCACGTGCATTTGGCTGTCGAGTCGAGCGGGCTCGTTTGTTAATGGTGCGACGATTGCGCTTGATGGCGGGAGTGTTGTTTCCGCAAAGCTATAGTAGTGGTAGTGGTACGACCAATCGGTCGGGTGGGGGTATCATGTATTTTAGGTATTATGCGAGCGAAAGAAGAAGAAAAAGCAAAACAAAGGCCAAGAATAATTTAGAAGAGAGTAAATAGAAAGAGAAAAAATAAAAGCTCGCACTAGAGATAAGAAAAAAAGTCTCATGTCTTGCATATGCATATACGTGCATGTATGTACGCAGTCGGGCCGTTGTTTTGATTCTGGTGCACTTTTGCCCTCAGGTTGTTGGGCTGTGCAAAGTCACACAGCGTGCAGGCGTGGAACCGGGATGCGATGTGGGAAACAGTAGTCAAGATGGGAATTAATAGGGAGGGAGATATATCTCTAAAGTAAAGCAAAGACAGTTGTTGTGGTGGTCGTATACTCTAGAAAGAAACCCTAATGCTTCAACATAGGAAATGAGAAGGAAAAAAAAGAACGAAGAAAGAAAGAAGACAAGTAGAAGGAGAAGAAGAAGCAACAAGAAAAAGAATGAAGAAAGACCGAAAAAAAAATGGAATGTTGAGCGTGCACAAAACCCCCCGTGTACTGTGTGTATTCCCCCTAAAAACACCATTGTCCCCCATATACCAGGACTGCAAGGAGAAATCCACCATGACAAAAAGAAAGACAAAACAAAAACACAAAAGGGAGTCAAATGCTGTGGTATCATCCATATGCTATCCAGACACCGTTAACGCCATAGAGTGATGCTTTTTTTCCTCCGTGCATAAAAAAAGCACTGCTTGCTCACGGGCAAGTCAAGCTCCTGGTCCTCTTGCTCTCGCCCATGGCTAGCGCATCCGCCCTCAGGTTCTTGGGAACTTTGGCCTTGGCCCAGCACTGCATTGCGACACGGCGCATGAGCTCAATCTCTTCATCTCGTAGGCGCAGCTGCCTCTTTGCGAGCTTGCTCTTACGTAGCTTTGCGCCTTTGCCCTCGACAGCCTGGCCAGAGGCTACAAACGGGACGTTGGGGTGCGTCATGCCGCGCTTAGTGGCGGGGCGGTCCGTGGTTGGCGACGACACGAGTGACTCGAGGTTTACGCATTCGGCGATAAGGGCCTGGATACCAGCAGAGAGTTGGGTGGCGCGCGAGAGAATGTAGCTCCAAATGTCTGAGCCTTCCCAGAAAGGATCGTTCTTAACGGCGTGCTGGAGGGCAGGCAGAATGTGGGGGAGCGGGGGCAGTGTCCTATCACTGGCGTCCTGGGCAGGCTCGTCTTGCGAGGGAGTGGCTACGCTTGCGGTGCTAAGCAGGCTTGCTGCAATCGTCAGGCGAATGTGGCTGTCAGTGCTCAGCGTCTCGGTCACAACGCATGCTGGGCAGCCTCTGGTGTGGCACCAGTCTGCCTCTTCGGCGATGAAGCACTGCAGGCCGATAAAGGCACTGCGGGACTCGCCCGAGAAGGCAAGTTCGAGGTCAGAGGAGCGCTGGGTGCACAGGGCGGCTGAAGCTAGGGTCGAAGCGCGCGAGAAGAGCGTCACGATAGGCATGATAAGGGCATGAAGGATGTCGCGGTGGAGCAGCCATGTGTGCTTGGACTGGGGTGTGCACTGCGAGTGTGCGGCGCAAAAGCTGCGTGCATATTAGCCTGTGTACATTTATACTATTAATATGGTCGTGGTGCAGTGGGCGTGGGGGCCTGTGTCTGGCCAGCTTGAGGCTCGCGATAGCGATGGCGATAAGCTTCCCGGGCGCGGACGAGGGATCAAGGCGGTGGGGACATACTCGGCCTGGCCAGCTAGACACCGCCTCAGGGCGCAAAAGGCCTTTGACGAGTTGAGGGCGTCGACGTCCTCACGTGAGATGGCGAAGGGGCTCTCCATGTGCATCGCGTGTGCGTGGTCCATCGTAGCAGCGGTGGCCGTGGCCGTGGTCGTGGTGGCAGTAGTAGGAGTAGTAGTAATAGAGCGGCTGGCGGAGGTCGCTTTGCATCGGTATCCAGTGCGGGTGCAGGGCCGAGGCTGATATGCTGCGAGGATGTCTCTCTTTGTATCGGTGTCTCCCTGTCCCAATCTCTTTCTCGGTGGTTATATAAGCAACACAGACAAACGAAGGTGGGCAAAGCTGCGCTGGCCAACAGGGGAGGGGGTTGGCGACCGGCAAGGGGGCGAGACGGCCGAAGGAGGAAGAAGCAGAAGGAGGAGAAGGAGGAGAAGAAGCAGCGGGCTTGGGGGGGGGCCAGGCCGTGTATGTAGTAGACGAGGCGGAGATGGAAGATTCGAGGGCGGTTCAAGGCCGTGGACAAGGGACGCGGTTCCCTATTTCACCCAAATGACGCGAACTGACGGACGGGCACAATGGGCAGCGCTCGGGGCGCGCCTCGGAGTGGGGGGCGGGCGCTTTGGTCGATCTAGACACGCCCCCTTTCCCCATGCGCTTGCACGCCTTTGCATAGACAGCGCGTCCGTCTAATTCTGGCCGACTTTGTTCAGCCACGCGCCCGCTATCGCTGTCACGCACATCCATCTCGACACCACTTGCCCGCCGACGAGCCACCAGCCACCAGCGACGGGTCACCAGCGCGCCCAGGAGAGGGGTTTTTGCCCGCCGCCCGCCCATCGTCATCACACTTGGATTCCGTCGCCTTCTCTTTCGCTGAGTGTTTGCGCCGAGCAATGGCCCGCCACCAGGGACCCGTTCCAGGGGTCGTTGCGGAGGTCCCTGGCTCTGATGCACTTTAATATTATGGATGGTGACGAGTGCGTGTGCTTATCGGAGAGAAGCTCGACATAGGCGAGAGGGGGAGGGGGACGCGCACGCCGACGTCGTTAGGGGGGCCGACGACACGATTGGGGAACAACATACCATCTTCGCCCATGCAGCTAACACTGTGCCTACTAGTTGTACACTACACGCTGTACTCTCACCGCTGCTGCTGGTGGTGGTGGTCATGATCCCCACCCACGACAACGACGTCGATCGACATCAGCCCACGCAAAACACCGCCCGCCGACCGCCGATGCTACCCCTCCCCAATCGATAGACATGTGCCATGTCCAAGTGCAGAACAGCGACGGTGTCAGTCGAATGTGACGCTCCCATCAACCAACCCAAGGAACCCGCGACACCCAACCAACCAGCCAACTCACCCACTGTCCACGTCCGCCCGTTGGGCCTCCCACCAAAACATGTTTCGGTAAACATTGAGGAAAAAAATCTCGCTTAGTTTCAATCCCCGCTCGCCCAGCCAGCCTCGGTCTGCTCGACTCGTACTGTAGGTACATGCGGCGCCGCCATCATCATCTAGTTCAACGCCCTCTCTCTCACTCTCACACACATGCTGCTCTCGGAATTCCACTCGCCCCAACCATGTATCGACTCAGAGCAGATATCGCAAGTCGTGCCGCCCGCGCAAGCCACGTTGACTCGCCCACATACACACCCACGTCAGCCAAGCCCCGAGTCGTTTACCTGCTTGCTTGCTTGCTTGCCAGTCCGTCTTGTTTTTTTGCCAACAGAAGCGAATGTGGCCTTTTTTTTGGGTTGCAAACTTTATTCGGGGTGAAAGGAAAACCGGTAAGTAGGGGGACGGGTGTGATATTCTTTTTGGTCTATGGTCTATGGTTCGTGCTCATGTATATGTATGTATGTATGTATGGGATTTTTTTTTAGTTCTCGTGGTAAGTTTTACATGGTTTGTTCAATTGACATGTTCATAATGATGATAGGATGGTGCATTACGTGCAGCTTGGCAGCGTTGTGAGCTTGCGAGTGTCAGCATCTAAGTGTCAGCATGTGAATGGAGCGTACTGTGTGTACATGTGTATGTGCAAACTATGTCAGTAGTGTGTATATTGGGACGCGTAATGCAGCGCCGATCCAATAGGCAAGGGGCGTGGGAATCTTAAAAAAAAATAGTGTCAAACTTCCCATGCCATGCCACCCCACTTTGTTTTGGGGGGGGGGGTGAGGCAATTCCAATTTCCCATGGGACCTTGCTGCTAGGTTGTGACTGTAGTGCTATGTCCGCTAACTAACGTGACTAAACCTAACGGCCCGTTGGCAAAGAGAGAAAAATCACTCCATTCCCCCACCCAAAAAAACACTAATTGGCTCTGGCTGTCAAACTCTCTCTCTCTCTCTCTCTCTCTTTTCCCACTTCACTTGCTTTGCATTTGACGATCCAAGGTACAGGATGAGTGGGGACACGAACTGATTGAACTGATTGAACTGATTGAACTGATTGAACTGATTGAACTGGGGAAACTGGGAAACTGATTGACTGGGACTGGGACTGGGACTGGGCGCGCCATTGACAGCGATGGCGTATTGCGCTACTGCTACCACTACCGGGCAAACGGGCGCTCCCGTGATCGGCACTGCAGCTGCCTTCTTGCACTTGTGCTTGTCTGCTCACACACATCCGCCCCCCCCCCTCTTTTTTCTTTTTTCTTTTTCCTTTTTTCTTTTTCTTCTTCTTCATTTTTGTTTTTATTCTTACATACCCCCCTCTCCTTATTACTAAACGTATGTATAGTACTACTTAGTGGGGGAGATGGAGAAGGGGGGGGGTTTTTTCTTCCTTTCTGTTTTCCCCCATTGCATCTTCCCCCATGTTACCCACATACACATACATATACAGGTTGGACTCGCTTACTGTAGTATTTTTATACACTTTTAGTGGTACATATGTAGCAGCCGTCTCAATGCTAGTGATCTCCCGACCATCGCTTCCCCCCTTCTCTCCCCCTTTACCCTCCCTTCTAAGCTCGCTTCCTTCTCTCTCTCTCTCTCTCTCTCTCCCTCTCTCTCTCTCCCTCTCTCTCCCCTTCTCTCTGCTTTGCCCTAGACTACACTGTATGCAACCCATTACTTCCGACCCGACACCCACACGTGTCACGCCCGCTTATATGACGCGCCGCGGGCCCCGTCTGTTAGCTGTAAACAAACTGAAACGTGTCAGTGCGCCCTTGCTAGAATGTCCGTGGCGCGCGTCCGTCTGAAGTCAATGCCATATATAGCAGCACCACGACAGGTCCCGCGTCCCAGAAGCCGACTGGAGCCAGAGGTGCTGCCGTCTCGGAAGCCTGGATATGTCTGCCAGCCGCGCATCCCATGTGCCAAAGCGCCTTTATTGTTGTCGCCGTGTACCTTTGACCGTGGCAGTGCAAATGGGGCCGCCCGTCAGAGGCCGCCCAAGCCGCTCGAGGAAATGATAAAAGTGTCCGCGTCGACCATTTCCTTCTTCATCTGAACCAAAAGACCGAATGCGACCCATCGTCACTCAGTATACGCCTCCCAATCCCAAAGTCGTTTTGCTTTCTCCCAAAAGGGTCCGTAAACAGCGTCGTGAGCTTCTCTGAAATCGGCCCCATCTCCTGCTTCGACACAGGCACAGGAGGGCTCAACAAGCTCGGATCATGTTGCAGAATGGCAAAGATGCTGCTCTTGGACCGCCCAACCATGCGGCGAAACACATCTTGCAGGTTGTCGTATAGTGGCCACAGTGTCTTCAGGTACCGTGCTGCGACGGGCTCGCACGGCTTGCACGGCTCTAGCATGTCCATGCATGATTTCGCATACGCAAGATCTGCCTCAACCCCTTCGGTTTGACCATCCATGAGTTTGGTTGCCGCACTAAAGAGCAGGCAAATAGCCGCTGAAAAGGACCAATATATACTGACACCCGGTTAGCCCTTGTCGAGTCGCCTTCTCCTCAGCCTTCACAAAAACTTACATGATCCAGCAGCGCCTCGTCAATGTACCGTCGAAAGAGATGAGGCCCAACATGCGTGCAATGTTCTGCGCAGCCGTTGCACACTCTCGCCTATACATCTTGACCGCCTCGGCCGACATGTTGTTCAACGCGCCTGCTTCTCCATCCACGAGCTGGGCTCCAGCTGCAGCCACTAGCAACTGACGATATAGCAAAACCAGGGCGCCAAGATACATGATCTGCAAGAGTTAGCGTTGCCACGTGATGACAGCAGCACTACGTACGTGTACCATGAAAATGGCCCGTCTTTGGAATATCGTCATGTCCTGGCCCTCCGAAGACAAGAGTGTAGTAATTTGCAACTTGTACGGAACCTCTTTGCGCCATTGTTCCAGTTTCTGGGTAAGCTGCGTGATGTTTGCCTGGGTAGCCAATTCTGGGGTTGCGAGCGCCTTTCCGACTTCAGCTGCAATTAGATTGATCTTGCTGGTTTGCGTGTGAATCATTTCATCGATCGAGAGGTAGTCGGGCCAGTCTACAACGCAGGCAATCTGATCTTGTTAGTGCCGTCGTGACAATGATGCCGTCCGCGCCATCCTACCTGGGTGTCATTAGCCGTTACCTCGGACGGGTAACCGAGGGTGTAGGAAAGCCACGAATCCATAAAGATGAGGCTCCGAAAGATCTTCCGCCACCCCACGTCTAGCGTCTGCGACCGGCCTTGGGGCGGCGCACATTTCCAGCGGGCAATCTGTAACCCCGCGGCTGTTATTGTTAGCTTGGGCGCAGGGTAGCGTGGAGAAGAGGGCGCACATACCAAGCAGGTATTTTGCGCTCATGTGCTTCTCGAGGAGGGAGAAGAAGGACAAGGAGAGCAACAGGCGCATTGTCCGGAAGTTGTCTTGCCTGGCAGTCTGTTCGTTGAAATGCAGGGTTCCAGAGGCATACAGCAGGCGTCGCATCGAATCCGGGAATGCATCAATTTCGTAGTGTGCGCCCATGGCTGCGACGGTAAAGCATTCGGCAAGCGTCATGTCGTCGACCTTTTTGGGAGACTTGTAGATTCGGTCCACTATGTCGTCGACCTGCTCAAACGTCCACATGAACAGGAGCGACCCGGTTCCCCTGATAAAGGCATGCATGGACCGGCGGACGCGGTCCTGGGGCGGAAGGCGGTTTTCGTCAAAATGCTGGACGCCTCCGTTGATAATCTCACTGCGGAGCGCGACCAGCTCACTAAAGGCGATGGTTAGTGCGTTGTGGCACGCCTCGGCACCCGGGCCGGTGGCAGCGATGGGCGGGAAGGAAACGGGACTGTCTGAGGAGCTGGGACTCGCATTTGAATAGGGCCTGGTGTTGTTGGAGGTGTCGGTGGTGGAGCGGCTGTTGGCGGGCCTTGACTTGCCGGCCGAGGCGGCCAGCTGCTGCGTCTTGAACTCGTTGAGGTAGACCTGGTACTTTTGCCAGCTGTCCGTCTTCTTGTACTCGTCCATCTGGGCCTCGAACTCTTGCATGGCGCGCGCGGCATTGCTCTCCCACACGCGCTTCTTCTCGGTAGGCAGCTCCTGCCATCGGCGGCCGACCTCGCGGGCAATGTCGACAAAGGACAGCTGGCTCACTTCGGGATCGGTGCGGAGCTGGTCAGCAAAGTTGACATCTACGAGGCGTGGTTAGTGTGTGTGCATTCACAGGCGGGCAAGACGCAGGCGGGTGCAGGTCGTACAAGCAGTCTTTGGCTTCTTGGGCGCATTGGGGTCAGGCCGAGGATGGCGCCGGTATCTCCTTTTTTCGCGCGGAGGCGGGGTAGTCGTCTGCCTGGTGAAGCTCTCGAGGGCCGACGTGGACAGCGAAACGGGCTCTGGGGAATTGGACTCTGGATCGAGCGAGAGCGACTGCGGCAGGCCGCGGTAGGTGGCGATTTCGCGCTGCAGCAGCCTGCGGTGGCCGAGCTTGAAGTTGAGGGCCGTCATGTCATCTTCGGTGATGTCTACCACGGCCGTCCAGCTGTGGAACCCGTTGTCCGACAGGACGTGAAGGTACTCGGTCAGCCCTAGACGGCCCAAAACCTCAGCGAGGTCGGGAGGCGTGGGACTTGAAGGGGAAGGGATCGCCATTGCGGGTGACGTCTGGCGAGGGGAGGGATGGGAAACGGGACAATTCGCATATTTGAGCGTCACGACGACACCATGGAAAGTGCCGCAGCAAAGACCATGGCGTGCAGACGGACAGAAGCTGAGAAAGACGTTATGGAATTAGCGCGCAGTCGTGGCCTGTGATTCCAGACCCGGTAGATGAAAAGAAGGGTGTTCGAGGCCCTCACGGCCTCGACCCACCCTTTTGCCGCACGCTAGTGGCTGCAGCCGGCTGCAGAGGCCGACGGTGCTGGGGACCTTGAAAGAGACGACAGCTGCCCTGGTGGTTTGGGGGGGGGGAGGGGGGCGTACATGGACAAAGGGCCGGCTTGGGGCTGGGGCTGGGGCTGGGGCTGAGGCTGGGGCTGGGGCTGGGGCTGGGGTTGGGGGGGGGGTGGTGTGAATGTAGCAAGTAGTCAGTGGGTGGGTGTAGTGGTAGCATGCTAGCATGCTTGCTGCAAGTCATGGCAATGGGGTCTTGTCAGAGAGTCGCATTTGCTGGTCACGGGCGCTGGGAGCTAGGCTGGACCCCTAGGAAAACGCCCTATCCTATGCCCCAAGTACATTCATTCACCCACATGCACACCACCACTACACACACTGCCACACTGCCACACTGCCACACTGCCTCGTCCACGCCCACGCCCGCATCGCATCCCAGCGCATCTCCACGCGTGCTCAAAAGAAGCCTTCAAGGCCCGCCGCCCGTCCCCGCGAGCCCCCGGCGCGCTTGCACTTCTCCGCCGACCGTCGTGGCCGATGCAGGCAAGCATCCGCGCACACGCACGGCACGACGCACGCCTGGGCTGTCATCTGCACCGCCGTGCGCGCGTGAGTGCTACGCGCAGCCGGGGATTGATGATCGAAATGTGCTCGGAGATCGTCTTGTCTCAGCACAGGTCTAGACTACTGCTTCAGTCTTGCTGTCAGCGCCGCAGCTTTCTCGTGCTCCCAGCTCCCAGCTCCCGTACCCAGCTGCCCGCGCTAGCCCGCTTTGGGCGCACATGCAATTGTTTCGCTCGCAAATCGGCTCACTTTCTCCACAGACCCTGCACAAGACCATCGTAGATCTATCTGCCCAAGCTCCCTGCTCCCTCCTGCCTCAGTAGGGATGCTCAATACGGTAGCCGAGCCCAAAATCGCTGTAATCACCGTAATTACCGTATCGTACCAATTACTACACAGAATCGGGTGTTGTAATTACGTCATAACAAGCTTACGCATTTAGTACTACTGCTGATTTTGGTGTTTTGCAGCAGCCGGCTCGCCACCACCAGACTCGTCACCACCAGGCTCGCTACCACCAGGCTCGCTCGTTACTACCAGGCTCGTTACCGCTAGGTTTTTGGTGGGTGGAGTAATACGGAAAAGATAGCTATATAGGCTGACAGGCCACGTCGCCAAACCACCAAAAACTGTGCAAAAACAAGTCCGTGCGCGACTTCGGAGGTCCGCAGGTCAAACCTCCGGTAACCGAGATTCTGGAGGCTCGTAATTACCGTAATTACAATACCGTACCAGCTACGGTACCAGTTACGGAGCATCCCTACACACCACCCATCCACCCATTCATTGCTTCGTTCCTTCATCCATCCATCCATCCATCCATCCAACCATCCACTCGCTCGCCCGCCGCTGCGCCGAATACTGCCGCCGACCGCGCCCCCGCGCTTGCTGACCCGTCTGTCTCGCCTCGTCTCGCCTTGTCTCGTCTCGCTGCGCGCCGGCCTTTAAATAGCCCCCCCCTCGCCGGGTCATGTGGAAAAAAGACATGCCTGCCACCGTCCTATTGCGGGACCCGGACGCTAGCCCGTCGCACTAGCCGTTCTTGGCCTACTGCCTTTGGGCCAACCATCTGAACATGGCGCAACCACCACTGCCTGCTGCCCAACCCGGCCTAGTCGCGGACAATATCCCCACTGTTCCTCTCCCCTCCCCCCTCCCCCCGATTCAATCCCACGTGTGTATGTATACGCATCGGTTTCTCCAAGTGCCATGCTACAAAACACTTTTGCATTAGCCCCTTCATCCGCCCAAGGTTCAGCGCTTCGATGCTGCTTCCATCCGTCCCTCCGCCCCCGCCCGGCCACGGTACCCGCCATGCACGCAGCGTTGTGTGCATTGCTTCTTCGACTACATCTACACCTACATCCGCCCTCGCTTCAAATCGCGCACCAATGCTCGGGTCATCGGTCACGGCGAGCTGTGCTTCTTTCGCCTTGTATGTTTGGGCCCACGCATGGCTTGGTCTGCAGTAAACAGTCTGGACGTTCAGCTTGCTCCCCTGGACTCCGAGAGAGCGCCATGGACATGCCCCAGACGGATTCCCTTCCGCAGCCTCCAACCTGGGCTGTGAGCGAGACCGACTGTCAGACGCTTGGCGAGGCGTGTTGCCTTTGAGGCAGGGACATATCAGACGCGTTCCACCATCTGTGTGGCCTCCCCCGTCCCAACCTACTGCCCGCTTTGTTTATACCATCCACGGCGTGTTTCGCCCAAACAGCAAACTCGGTTAAACGCCAGAGAAACCCATCAAGCATGTCCGCCGCGACCGACAGGCAAAGTCTTCACAGATGACACACCCTATGCCCCTATTGACATCGGCGAGAATAGCACTTCATCTATTCGACCAAATGCGAGCTGAACATGGCCCTGGATCTGCTGGAGCGGAACCTGTCCGCGAAACAGGCCGTGCGGAGCCAGTCTTTGTGTGCGGAGGGATAGTTGTCACACCAGTGTTGATTTGAGTTTGCCACCGCTTGGGCATCGCTGGGATACGAGCGGATGGTCGCGGTGTATATGAGCTCGCCGGGGATATCACTAAGTTTATTTTCTTGGGGCCGGTCTGGTGCACGGTTGTAAGGGTCTCGGATGGTTGGCGTGGATGTAACGAAGGAGAGACAGAAGTCATCGTGCAGGACTAGCGGTAACACATGGGGTTAGAAAATGGTATGTTGCCCAGCGTTGAACAGCATCATTTGGTAATGCACCTGATTCTTGGAAAGACTAACCACTATACAGCCCTAATACACCTACACCTGCATTGTCTTCTACGCCCTTTCTACTAGCTAGCCACTAGCCCAACTTGACGCCTTTCAACACACACACACACACGTGCCTGTAGCGACCGCGTGGCCGGCACCAAGCAGTCGGATTCGTCACAACACGTCAACTGACGATCAACCAGCAACTACAGTGAGGCAATGCAAAGCTGGTGTCATCTTCTCAAAGCGTGCTGCGAATGTCCGGGTTACATTTGCCGATTCTCGCCCATGACTAGCGTAGCGCTACTGGCCTGTGCACGCACCCCCGCGCCATTACCCCTCGACGGGTTTTGCACCACATGGACTGATGAGCAAACTCGTGTTCAAGGGCTAACAACTAGAATTCAATTCGTCGTATCCGTTCCCGGCACGGCACGGTCTACTCCGGAACCAGCAATCACGCCACTACTGCGCTATCGCTTCGATCCGTTCACGACTCGGTTGACAAATCATCGTACCCGTTCTCGCATAGCGCACTTTCATCGCCATCTCGACACGATGATCCCCCATTGTGTGCCGTCGGGGTTATCTCACCTAGTCGGACCGCTATCTACACAACCCACTTCCCCACTCTCGCTGGGCGATTAAAAAAACCTTGTTCTCAGAGATGCCGCCTTCTGCCTATCGCTACATACTTGCAACACGATGTTGCAGCATCTTCTCGCCGTTGGGCTTTTGGGCCTCGCGAAGACTTCGCATGCAAGTTATGGATTCTACGTGGGCAAGGCACTCACCCACGACGGGAGCGTCATGCTTGGCGGAACAGGCGAGGAGGTATCGTCGCATTGGCTTCAAATCTTCCCGGCCAAAGACCACGCGTCCAACGAGACCATCACCGTCGGCGTCACTGAAGACGCAGTCATGCCGGGCAAGCTGATGAACATCTCGCAAGCACCGCATACGTTCCGCTACCTGTCCATGGAGTACTCCGACTTTGAAGGCTTTCCCGCGCCCCTCACCAACGGTGGTGTGAATGAAAAGGGCGTTGCGGTTCGCGACATCTGGGCCCAGAACCGCGATGATCTCATTGCAATGACCCCAAACCCGCAGACAGGATTGCAGTATTCGGATCTTGCTCGTATTGTGCTGGAAAGAGCACGTACCGCGCGCGAAGGCGTGGAGCTCATTGGGCAACTGATTGCCGAGCACGGTTATGCTGACTATGGCGGCAACTCGCATCTGATCGCTGATGCGCACGAGGGTTGGGTGGTCTGGGAGATGTCAGGAGGGCAAAAGTTGTGGGCGGCAGAACGCCTAGGGGATAACAACGTGCGCGTCCTCTATCCCGGCTACATTGAAGACTTCCCAGTCGACTTTGCAAATAGCTCAGACTATATGGGTAGCCCCAACATTGTGAGCTTTGCCGTCGACCAAGGCTGGTGGAACCCCAACGGCACCAAGCCATTCAACATTTTCAATGCGTACGCGCCCCAGGAAGAGGGCTACACTGCCCGAGACGGCGGTGCAAAATACATGTCGCAGGCGGCGCTTGAGGATGTGACACGTGCAATGGCTCCCGTGACGGAAAAAGACCTCATGGAGCGCGTTCGCGACTACCGTATTGCAGACGACGAAGCCGGCTATGGCCAGGTCGTCTCCCTACGCCCAGAAATGGACCCCGACCTCATCCGCATTTGGGTTGCGCCGACGGGCTCTGTAACGGCACCCTTCAATCCATGGTGGCTAGGCGTAAAGAGCGTCCCACCCGAGTACGGACTGCATCGCTACCTGTACAAGGACGCCGCGGCAACCTTCTTGGACCCCGACTACCAGTACCAAGAAGCCACCCATGTTGCTGGACGCATCTTCAAGCAAGTGCTCTATTACACATGCTCTGACCCAGACACATATCTGCCCGTCGTTCAGAAGATGCTGCATGGGTTTGAGAACGCATCTTTTGCCGACGTCGAATGGGTTGAGCAGGCTGCTCACACACTGGTGGGAAATGGGCAGCGGGAGCATGCACTCGAGTTCCTGACCTTTTACTCGCATGCACGAGCGGAGAAAGCATTGGCGCTTGGAAAGACCATGGTTGATGCTCTCGATGCTTATGTGAAGCTGAAGGGCCAGTTTCGCATGCCGAGCGGCAATCGGATTAATGATCCTGGACTTGGGGCTGAGACGGTAAACTGCTTGGTAGGATGGGATCCGGTGAGTCGAACATGTACGGAAAAGGTTGGAGCAAACTAACGTTGCTGTGTCAGGATCAACCAGCTGACAAGCAGAGGCCTATGAAGAGATTTCGACGACAAAGAGGCTTCTGGTAATGGCACTTGAGCTGCTACAAATACACCAACACTCGTCGGCCACGTCTCAATCTAATAATAGCTTACTAAAAGAGGCTACTGTAATGCCTATGTATGGATCCAGCGCACATTCGACTCTCGCAGACAGCGGCCACCAAGAGTTCCGCGGCGGTCATTATGACCTGATGTACGCGCATAATGGAGTTCTAGATGGAATCCTGAAATGTCGGCTATTTGCCATAAGGTGGACTGACTCTGTATGGTACTATAGGCTCTGTTCGCATCTGCATACATGTGCATACCGGCTATGCAAGCCCCGATTTACCCGGTCATCAGGCCACAGTCTGAAGAACAGACATTTTGCATCTTTTCAATCGAGTATCTGGAACACAATTGGGCTGACAAGGTTCATGACCCGGTGCCCGTATTGCGAGCATGCATCCTACGCCTCGATGATGCAGCTGACGGCAGCTAACCTTTGCGGATCAGGAGCGGGCCGTGTACGTTTAAGACCGGAAATCTGTACAGGGAAAGCCTGTGGAGATGCTGGGTTTACGGGATAGTGCGCTAGTGTATGGAACGCTGCTATGTCAGCACCTTGTCAAGGTTGGTATTTGTAATCTCTTCATGGTCAAAGGCATGAGCAGTCTTTGAACTTCTGAAGAGTTCGACTGCCAGTAATGCTTGTTGATGATGTACATTGATACTGGGCTGAACTTGGACTAGTGTCGGTGCCAGCCGTAAGTAGACTTGGACCATACTGACTACGGATAGGCTATGAAAACTTCCTGGTAAGACGAGACGAATAACGGAATTTTCCGTAAGCTTCTGCCGATAGCCAGCTCATTCACTACCCACATGCATGGAATGAACTACTACAAAGCCAGACTAGTTTGGAAGCAACAAGCAAACCCTGGATTCAAGTCTGCGACCAACAACCGATATCAGGCAAAACATCCTTCGTACGAGATAGCAGTCGGTTCCAGGAGCTTATGAAGCTGCTCGACTAGGAAACGATCTATTGAATGGCTTCAAAGCTGCTGCTACAAACACGCCACATGTGAGGGGAAAGGACCATGCTAGTACTCGTTGGCAACATGCAATGATGCTGTGCTACCTGGATCCTCACGAACTTCAACCATCCTGCTACCCCCCTATGTCGTCGCGGAGATGTCTAGCCTCTGCGCCTTGGTCTCCAGACAGTACGTGAAGTACCCCCTCTGCCGAGTCAGAACCTCATCTCCCCCATCGATCATAGCCTTGAATGGGGGAGGGCTATCGGCAGTACTGGCCACCCCATGTACCGTACAGGCATATTATGTAAGACACGATGTTCCCTTTCCATCACTTGTCTTTCCCACCCCACTCTCGAGAACAAAGCTCTCTTGCGTAATACTATGAGCTAAACGACACTCTCGTTTACCACAATTAACTTTCGGAGCGGAGAAATTATTAAACAAGCGAAGACGAAAAAAGAAAAGAGAGTTTGCAAATCTTGCCCTCAGGCCCCTGGTCCCTTGGAGCCCAAAAAGTCTGTGTTATGCGTCAATATTTCTATATCGCCTAGTTTTGGGAAAGTCGCAGGGCATCGGATAAGGGGTGGGAGAAAGACCTGCTTAACGGAGGTTAGGTTGGGTTTTGAGTCGCTGGACTCAATCGCACCCCCTGCTCCCCCTCGTAAAGTAAAGTAAGCCCGTAGCGCCACACATGTATGATCACACGTGAGAAGGGGGATTGCGTGTTATTTTTGACTGCAAGGGTGATAGCGTGCAGGATCATGCATGGGGGGGGGCTAGATTTGAGGATATCCAAAAAAACCAGAGAGAGGGGGAAAGTTGTTGAACAGCACTGCAGAATACTACATGCGTGCATTGTGGTGTGTTGTGTTGTGTTGTGTTGTTTTGTTTTGTTTCCAGTCGCAGTTTTCGCGTGGCCATCTCATCTCTCCTCTTCGTAACTAAAGCAACTTGTTTTTCTCCCCCCCCCTTGCAATCTTGGAACCTTGCCCAACCTTGGCCAAACCCTAGTGCATCTCACATGTCACACAATCTTGCAGCAAACCATGGAATACTATAGTATACAAACAAATACTATTATCTTCATCATCGCCGATCGAAAAAAACAAAAGAAAAAAGAAAAATCCTGGAAACTTTGTTCAACACAGTCAGCGTGGACATTATACACGATACATACACACGTATATACATGGGGGATGGGGTGCGGGCTGGAGGCCATCGCATTGCGCTGGAGTGCTCGTGCTCATGCTCATGTTCATGCTCGTGCACTAATTCCACACACACACACCGTGGCTTTCCGGTCTTACTCGATACATATGTACGTGCATACTTGCAGACGTGCAGACAGTCCGCTCGGTCCGCGGGCGCGCTAAGCAAAAAAGCACAAGTAATAGGGCACATACATTACATACATGTAGACTTTTTTATATCTTTCTTACATACATGTGAGTGGGTAGGCTGAAAGCGCAGACGCACCTCGGACTTTTCTGGATTCCGCGTTGCGAAATGCTGCCGATGGCGAAGTATATACATGGTTGGTTGGTTGAGGGATGTCATGGCATTCTCGGATGCCGTGTCGTTCCGTGCGGCCTTGGTCGCGGAAGCTATCTATGTATGTAGCCAGGTCCGTACGTACCGTGTTTCGTACGTACGTATGTACAGCCCCCCCCCCCCGGCAGATAGAGTGCTGGATCGGCTGGTAGGTAGATCGGCAGGTAGATCGGCAGGTAGATCGGCAGGTATTTAGCTATAGTAGATAGATAGAGGTATACAAGACGTCTTGTATACGGGTATATCAGCTAGCTGTTAAGACAACATCTAAACGACTCGCCGTGTGTGAGTGGTTAGATCGGGCTTAGTTGGGTAGCAACTGTGTGTTATTACAACGGACAAGACGGATATATATGTGTGTGCAATCTAGGTATGTATTTATAGCTTTTTTTTTAAGAAAAAAAAAGCTTCTGACGTAATTTACTTGCCCTTACTTACCTCACCTGTTTGCCTGGGTTGCTTCAAACTGTTTTTTGGTGGGGGCTTGGCAATACGGTAAGCTGGTGAATATCACCAGAGTCTCACGTTGGTATCGCCGGAGCTGGTGCAAGGATGGCTGCGAAGGATGGGTGGTCCCGCATTGCATGGCCATGTTCATGTTGTGTAAGCTGGGCTAGCTAGCTGGGTACAAGGCAAAGCAGGGTTAGATATGTACGTACGTACAATAAGGTAAGGTAAGATTTAAGGTATCCAGCGATGCTGTCGCCAGCAGTGCTGACCCTGCTCGTCGTGGCTTCCACCGCACGAGCCGCTGCAACCCCGCTGCTGCTGAGCAATCCCATGACGACGCGCCAGATGGCCCCGGATGTCGTGGCCTCGGTCGATCGCTACGCCGCCGCCGCTTGTACGGGCACTATTTGTAATGTAGCCGGCTCCGGCGACTTGCTCGTAGGATGCAATGTCATTCGAGATGGGTGTCGCGCCAGTCTTGTGCTGAATTATGCGAATAACGGGTGTAAGGGTATGTACATATGTAATGAGTCTTTGCCTTTTTCTTCGTGTCCCCTATATGTTAAAGTGGCCTTTTTATTATTAATTTACTCATTTTTTTTTGGGGGGGGGGGCTGTTTGATTGTTTTTCTTGGACTCAGAGATGTTAGGGCTGACGTGTAATACAACAGTGACGGCTTGGGCGGATGAAAAGTGCAAGAATACGGTTGAAGCGGTGAGTCTGGTGACCCCGGGTGAGTGTAAGCAGATTGGTGCAAAGGCAATCAAGGCGGTTTCGGTTACTTGCTAAGTTGGTCGTGTGAATGGTTTTGGTGGATGGCATGTAAAGGAGGGAAAAACAATAAAAGGGGTATGGTATTGTGGGAAAAGAGAGATAGGAAAGTAGTGTAATGTTTATTTTGTGTTGTTGGTTGCAGTGGGAAAATGAAGTGAGAGAATGGTGTGATGTGAATGCATGATTATTGTGTGTAGTGGCTTTGATATACAGTTAGTAGATGTGTGTGTGTAATAGCCAGGAAGAAAGATACACAGGCAACCAAGCAAGCAAGTATATAAGAAGCTGTTGTAATGTTACATGTCGTTATCTTGTTACTGTATGTATGTTTTTCTATTTTTCTATTTGATTCTGCCTTGCATGCTACATACATATATACATGTCCATACATTACTAACTAACTAACAAACTTAGGCGCCCCCTCCTCTTCCCCTCAAGGAAACAATCAAACAAACAACACAATGCCATTTCGCGCCGTAGTCATACTCGACATGTTTGCCAGCAGCCTCGCGGCCGTTTCACCACTCTAGATTCTAGCGTTGCTGGATCGCTATGCTGTGGCTGGGTGCATGGGAAAGATGTGCAATGTACTTGGCACGGGGAGGATTTGGTCGAGGAATGTACGGTTGTTGGGTGATGATGTTTGTTGGATGAGCGGTATGCTGTATTTTGTGTTTAGGAGTGTAATAGCATCTTCTAACCCGCCTTTCTTCTTCTTCTTCTTCTTCTTCTTCTCTCTCTTTCACACACACATTGCTGGCTGTGGCTCGTCTGAAGATGTGCTTTTGTCTTGTTCAACAGGATCACTGGCTGGCTGATTGGCTGTTTCGTCGTGTATCTTGTTTGGTTTTGTTGGAAAAGACTTCGGACGGGCAGTTACTTAGATGCTGACTGACCAACACATACACTTACACACGACGGTGACGGGCTGGGTAGATAAGAAAAAAAATAGTTCCAAGATACAGTGAATATAAGGAGTTTTCTGTTACGGGATGAGTTGCAAGTATCTTGGTGGAGGAGGAGGAGGAGGAGGAGCAGAGTTCAAGGCATTTTGCGTGACGTGCTGAGCTAAGTAGTCTTGGGAAGAAGAAAAAGTGTATGGGAACGTGAGAGAAGAAAGATGGGATTGCATCGTAATCTCCATATTTTTTGGATTATTGTTTCCTGTGGCTTTGTACAGGATGGGTTGTATAGGAGGCTGTTGATTGTGATTGGTAGTGTGTTTCGAGCAGTGCAAAGATGGCAACGTACTTGATGATCAACAGATAGAAGTAACGTAGTTGTGACTAAGCGGGGGTACGCCTGATATTCGCGTTGGAGAAATATAGAGTAATGTTTTACTAAACATTGGCGGATTCATTAATCTAATCATGGGTATCATACATGCTATCACAATCAAGCAGCTACTGGCCTGGCCGGACTGGCTGTTCTACCTGTGCCTACACCCGAAGCCAGCAGCTCCAGCCTGGAGGCTTGGACACGGTGTTTCTTCATGACGTCGACCCATTCTTCTTCGACGTCTTCTTCAGTGGTGTCCTCGCCGTCCGCTGCTTGGAGTTCTGCGCGCAAATCCTCTTCTAGCAGCGCAATCATCATGCCAAAGTCGGCACCGAGCCTGCCGAGCGAACCAGCACAGTACAGGACTTGTGTGAGGAGCGAGTCCCGGGCTGAGCGGTCTTGCACGTTGGGGAGATAGGTTCGCAGCGTGTCGAAAAGCATTTCTACAAGGTGCAGGGGAAATGTGGCGAGAGCAGAGGGTATGGGTTGGAGGGGATTGGATGTATCAGCTGGCTTTACGGGAGGCGGAGCGTCGTCCGAGCCTGGAGCGGGAAGCGCAGAAGGGAAGATGCTTTTGTACATGGATATTATTGCAAAACTCTGTTCTCGGAAGACCTCGAGGTACTTTTTCAAGTACTTTTCTGTTTGCTGGCCGGCGGCCCAGCCGCTGTCTAGGGCTTTGGCGGGGTTGCTTAGGCGCTTCGAGGTTTCTTGGTCGGCGAGGTCGCGCAGCGGGGAGAGGGCCTCGAGTATGGACTCGAGACATAGCAGCCTGCATACAAGAAACAGAGCACCCAGCGTGCCCTCGCCGCTGCCAATGGCCGCTTGCTTGGTAGACCATGATTCGTCCAGCTCGGGCGCCACGCGTCGGAGCCAGCCAATTGTGCGCATGGCACCGGCCAGCTTGATTCCCTGTGTCTGGAGAGACGTGATGAGGTTGGTGGTCATGGTCTTCATCTCGTGCTCGGCCTGCATCGTGAGCGAGGACACGAGTGGCGAGTTGGGGTACAGGGCGTGTAGGCGCTTGATGTGGGCGTGGAGATCCAGGGCCGAGGCATAGCTTGCGTTGGCCGTGGCGGCCGAGGCGGCCGTGTGCGTGGCAGCTGTCGAGGAGCTTATGGCGGACGAGAGGAGAGTGGGGAGATCGAGCACATCAGCGACGCGGTCCATGTTCCGCGACAGCAGCATGGCCTTTCTCCGCCGGTCGAGGATGGCATTCTCAGCGCCCCTGGCGTACTTTTGCGAGAAGTTTTGCGCGGCCGTCTCGAGTTGGGGCAGCTCGGCGTGGACGGTCGCGACATGGTGGCCTATGTGGGGGAGGGTGCGGGCGAGGTGCCGCAGGTGGTCGGTCGAGGATATGATGGGCCTGTGCGATCGCTTGGAGAGAGCCTGGAGGGCGCGCAGAATGGCCTGCGAGCTCTGGGACAGCGACTGCTGCTCGGAGGAGCCGAGGGCGTCCAAGGGCAGCGTGGTGAGGCGGGCGAGGTAGGCGTTGGCGACGGCGGCGTCGGGGGCGGCGTCGGGGGCGGCATCGCGGGCGTCAAAGTAGGGGATGAGCAGCTCGTAGAGGGGGTCTGCCATGGCGGGGCTGGGTGTGGATGCGTGCGAGAGTCGGTGTAGAGGGACAGCATCGCGGCGATATTACCATCACTAAGTATTCTTGCATGGCGCGGAGGTGCCAGGCACAAGGCCGCCCCCCGGCCCTCGCCCTCCGCCTAGCACAGCTTCACATGGGCCGCGTTTGGCTGCTGCTGCTCAACCATGGACCGCCCCCCACCCTCTCCTCTGCTGCCGCCAACGACGACGACGCCTCCGCCTCGGACGGCGACCAGCAGCAAGCCCCCATTGCCGAGCGCTTCCTCGCGCAGCTGTTCCACGACCGCCTGCTTCGCACCAGCAATAGCGTGCCCCCGCCCGCCTCGCCGCCCGCGATAGCAGCGCCCAGCAATCTCGTGGCCTTCTTCAGCGCCGCCAACATTTTCCCCCTCCCCCTCACGCCCCCCCCGAAGCCGCCGCGCGCCCGTCCCCGCGCCCCCCAGCCCCCCAAATGCAGCGCGCCGAGCATGTCGTCTTCTGCGTCGAGGACACCGTCGGGCTCCGCGACGACCGCTACAGCGTCGGCATCATCGAGCGCTCCTTTGGCGACGTCGACTCGCACGAGCCCCGCCCCCAGCGCGACTACCCCGACGACATTGTGTGCGATGGCGATATCCCCGCAGCCCAATTCGCAAAGTTCCTCAAGGACGGCATCCCCCCGCGCGGCACCGTGCTCGTGTCGTGGCAGACGCAGTTCAAGACGGAGCTCGTCTACGAGCACAAGCTGCAGCTCCTCGACCGCGCCCTGTACGTGGGCGATGTCGTCAAGCGCAAGGCTGAGGACCACATGAGCGGCACCGTCATCGGCACCCAGGCTGTCTGCACTCTGTTCCCCGCCACCCTCTTCAACGGCGGCCACATCACCCAGGCCATCACCGACGACCACTCGGTGCGCAACGTCGCCGCCGAGGAGCTGATCAACGTGCACGAGTTCGTCGAGGGTGCTCTGGTCGTCTACGGCGACTGGGTGGGGCGCGTCGAGAACGTCTACGACGAGGTGGCCATCAAGCTGGCCAACAACTCGGTCGTCGTGGTCGAGGACCCGTCGGAGCTGAACCAGGACGACGCCACCATCGATCGCCTCAGCGTGGGAGACACATGCAAGACAAAAAAGGGCAATCTGCGCAGAGGGCGGTGGCGCTTTGGCGCCTACGATCCAAGCGTGCCGCCCGTGGGCGTGGTAGTCGAGACAAGAGCAACCGAGATTGACGTGCAGTGGCTGGCCAGGAGCATTGGTTCCCGCAATCGCACCCTTACTGCCGACGAGCCTCCCGTCACCCTGGGCCGAGACGAGTTCGAGAGCCCCGAATTCTACAAGTACGATGCCTCGGGCGGCACCGCTACCACCCTCCCCTTGTCCGAGAACGGCGTCGACAAGTCATATCACGTCGCCGACGTGGCCGTGGGCGATCGCGTCCGCTTCAAGGACATTGCTGGCGCGGCCGTCAAGTACGACGGCACCCACACGCTGTCCAACGGATACCCCCAGGGCAAGGTGACGCGCATACCGCGAACAGACTCGCTAGGATATGATCTCAACGTTTTTCTCGTCATGCAGACCCACAGTCAAGTCACGGTACAATGGCAGGATCTGTCAGTAACACAGGACCTCAGCTCTGCGCTACTGCCCGACCCCAACGTCGAGGACGACGACGAAGTCTGGCCAGGCGAGCTCATCTTCTCCAAAGAGGTCCGTGATGGCGACAATGCACAAGGCTCCGAGACCAAAAAGCCGGCCAAAGTAGGTATCGTCCAGACTGTCAACGGCCGAGACCGGATAGCAACTGTGCGGTGGTTCAAAAACCCCTATGTAGAGTTCTTTGGCAACAACCTGCTTCCGCCATGCACCACGGGCGAGCTCCACGACGCCGTTGAAGATGTGAGCCTGTATGACATCTACTCATTAACCGCCCTTACGCGACGGCGTGGCGATTTTGTCATTCTCGACCCAGAGAACATTGAAGCGATCCAGTCGTCACTGCACATCACCGGCCCTAATTGGTTTGGCGAGGTGATAGATCTGGGCTTGGACGGTAGGCTCACTGTTCGTCTCGGCGCAGCCAAGCCTGTAGTTGATGTCAAGGTCCCGTATGAGTGTGTCCATCTTGCTTACAGCAGTGACATGGCCGATGATTTTATCAATGACCTTAACGATTCCGAAGGAGAGTACATTGAAGAGCTAGACGAGGAATTCGATTCGGACGACTTTGATTCTGCCTCTTTCAACGAGATGTGGATTGAGTATGAAGGCATGGAGGGAGAGCCACCCGTCGGAGATGAGGGCGACTGGTCGACAGAGGACGAAGAGGATGAGAACGGCGATGACGATGACGAGTCGATGCCGGACCTGATCGACCCCACAAAGGAAGACGTAGATACCACAAAGACTACACCTGATATCAAGCCGCCGCCGACAAAGGAAGAAAAACCGGATCCACAGCCAGAATCAGAGGTCGACGACACGTCGATAGAGCAAGGCAACGTAGAGTCGACGAGCGGACCAGCATCCTTTGTCATTCTTGATACACCCCCACCATCATCACACCGCTATATATCACAACCGTCGGCATCATCCTCTGCCTTTATGCGCCGTATCGCGAAAGAGCACAAGATTCTCCGCACCTCGTTACCCCCTGGAATTTACGTCCGCACCTGGGAATCTCGTCTCGACCTCCTCCGCGTGCTGATGATTGGGCCCAACGACACGCCTTATGAATTTGCTCCGTTTGTCGTCGACTTCCACCTTGGCTCGTCATATCCACAACAAGCCCCTGATGCCTTTTTCCACAGCTGGACTAATGGAAACGGCCCCGTGAACCCCAATTTGTACGAGGATGGCAAGATCTGTTTGAGTCTGTTGGGAACATGGCATACGGATGAGAGAAACGAGAGCTGGAGTCCGGCAAAGAGCACGCTGTTGCAAGTTCTGGTCTCGCTCATGGGCCTGGTGCTAGTGAAGGAGCCCTACTACAACGAAGCAGGATATGATGTACATCGATCGGCGCCCGAGACTAAGCTCAGCAGTGCATTGTACACGGAGCGGGCGTACTTCCGAGCCAGGGCCTTTATACACCATGCGCTCACGCACGATGTGGAGCCTTTCAAAGAAGAGCTGGACTATCTTTATCTGAGCCAAGACGAGGATGCACCAAAGCTGCTCGACAAGGCAATTGGTGCCGCCAAAGATACGGCCGATCGCAGCGCCGACGGGAACGGAGAGGGCGAACGCGATGGTCTCCGGAAGATCAGCTTAGGTGCTTTGGTCATGCTCAAGAGGCAGATTGAGAAACTCGAGTCGTTGAAGAAGTCGACCCCACAAGCATAAAGCGAGTATTTGGTATTGACCGTATAGGTAGCGTCCAAACGGAGTGAATGAGATGACGGTATACCCGCACCGGATCAAAGATAGCAAAAGTAAATGTAAAATATCTTTCAAGGTGCCCGTCACCATGGATTAAGTGAACCCGGCGAGTGCTCCAGCTACTACTCCGCACGACTATCTTTCCCCAACGAGGTTCCTGTTGGCCATCACGGTACTCGTCTGACGTATGGCTGTACTTAACGAGCACTTATGCCTATAACTAGTCTTCAAGAGCCATGTCAACCACCAACTTTCCTCCTCTCCCATTCCGATACTCATCAACCAGCTCGTTCAGCCTCGCCAGCGAAAACGAAGTCGAAATAGCCCGAACACCGTGTTCAGCCGAAAACTCCAGCATCTCCCGCAGCGTCTTATTGCTCCCCACCAGACTGCCAATGATCTTGATGTCGCGGAAGACGACATCTCGCGAGTCGATATGGAACCCCTTTTCCGGGAACGACACCACAACACAGGTCCCGTGGGCCTTGAGCAGCTTCATCCCGTAGTCAAACGCCGCCTGGCTCTCTGGCAGCACAAGAACAGCATCAAGCCCCATTTCCCCCACTGCCTCCTTGCCGTCCTGCGCACCGAGATCCCGCACTACATCCTCTGCGGCTGTCGCCCGCGCATCCACCACCACCGGCCGCGGCTCCAGCGTCGCCGCCACGCTCCGCGCAAGTCCTAATGCCGCATCCGCAGCCTCAATCCCAAGCACCCAATACCCCATCTTGACGCCGTACTGCAGCCCGAGATGGCCCAGACCGCCACCCGCACCTAGAATCCCCACGCGCGCGCCGCTACGCACTCCGCTCCGCTTCAGCGCCGCGTAGATAGTTACACCCGCGCACATCAGCGGCGCCGTCTCCACAGCCGTCATGGCACCCGGGATCCGCGCTACCTGCCGCGCATCTACAACCGCATACTGCGCGAAGCCCCCCGCCCGACTCAACCCGTTATTCTCAGCACGCACACAGTGCACAGAGTATCCCGCGTCATCGGTCCCAACCGCATCGTCTCTAGCCCTGTCATTCCGACACTCGAAACACGATCCGCACGCGTGGAACGCCCGTCCTGGGACTCCGATCTGCGTTCCAACCGCGAAACTGAGTGCCGCGGCGCTGGGAGACGCAGAGTGCGATTGCACGGTGCCGGCGAACTCGTGGCAGCTGATGTGTGGGAAGGAACGTGGTAGCCCGGGCATTTGGCCTGCTGCGAGTACTGCGTCCGTGTGGCAGTAGGATGCGGCGTTTACTTTGATGAGGAGGTCGTGTGGAGATGTGGGTGTGGGCAGGGCGACGGAGCGTAGTTTGTAGGGCGAGTTGTAGGCGTCGAGGTGTTGGGCTTGCATTGTGCTGGGGAGAGGAGGAGGAGGAGGGGGCGACATGGTTGGAGAAGGGGGATCTTCGTAGTCGGGGATGTAGATAGATGGAGGCGGACTTGTTTTCGTTGGAAATCAGTATGTTAGTATCTTGTTCCTTCTACTACATCGAGTTCCCCACTTTATTTTGGACATGCATCGCAAGAGACGGGATCCCTGCATGCGGGGTATCGTCGTTGATGTGGGGCTGCAAAGAGAGGAGCCATGTCTCTCCCCGACGCCTATAGTCAGGTCCACGGAGTGACTTAACCAGCCAAGTTTCCAATTGCCTCACACATCATGGCGTCGGACGATAGTACCGTCGTGCTCCCAGCACCCGCCCCCAACCAGACGTACGTCACCATTTCCGCGCTGCAAGCCGGCCACCTCACGCTCCCCGAGAAGCTCTTCGTCACGGATGCAGATGCGGAGAAACGAGCAACAGTGCCTTCTCTCTCCTTCCTCGTACAGCACCACTCGTCCAAGCTCGTCTTTGATCTTGGCCTGAAACGCGATTTCTCGGGCTACCGAGAAGCACAGCAACACCACATTGCGCAGCGCCAGCCCACAGTTGTAAGTCCCGATGCGGCGGAGAGTCTGCGGAAAGGAGGCGTGGATCCGGGCGATATTGATACCGTGATGCTGAGCCATGTGCACTGGGACCACGTCGGTACGCCTAGCGACTTTACGCGAGCACAGTTTGTCATCGGAAGCGGGACTATGCATGTCCTTGGCCATGGCGACGGGCCGTTGTATCCAGCCGAGATTTTCAATGCCGATGAGCTGCCTGCTGATCGGACGCGCGAACTGCCTCCTGTTCGGCCAGAAGACGCGGCGCGGGCGTTCCAGCGCAAGACAGAAGGACATGTCTGGAAGCCATTGGCGGGGTTCCCTGCTACGCTGGATTTCTACGGCGATGGATCCATGTATGTCATTGATGCGCCGGGCCACTTATCCGGACATGTCAATCTTCTTGCGCGGACTGGGCCGAAGAAATGGGTGTACCTTGGTGGAGACTGTTGCCATGACCCGCGCATTCTGAGTGGCGAGAAGGGCATTGCAAGATATGATGACGGGAAAGGTGGCTTGAGAACTGTACATGCGGATACCCAAGCGGCAACTGAGACAGTCAGGAAGATTGCAAGATTTTTGAAGCGAGGAAACGTCAAGGAAGAAGGTGACGGCGAGGTCGAGGTCGAGGTTGTCGTGGCGCACGACAAAGCGTGGGCTGAGCAGAACAAGGACAGATTCTTGCCTAGGCATATCTGATACAAAGAGGTGGCTCATCCTGATTCCAGCATATCAGCATAAAGATTCAACGAACTGCCGATTATATCCACCACAGCCCAAGTTTGAGATCCTTTGAATATCATAGCCCAGACTCTAAGCACCCCGGCACTGAGCTGTTTCGTGAAGTTGGGCGAGCTGGGCGTGACATCGGGCGGCAAAGCAAACTCGGTCTCGTCCAGCATGCTTTTTACAATGGCAATTATGCGGTTCTCATCCTCCGTGACAGGCGGATCAGGATCCCGTACCGAAAGCGCCTCTAACCACTTGCTCATGAGATACGCGCATTCCAGTGTGCACAAAGAATGCTGAATGCTCCAGATAAAAGGCTGAGTCTTTGCAACAAGCCGATAGCCAATCTTGATGGGTATCGAGAGCGCATGCGCCGAGTGTAATACAGCCCGAGTAATCTTGGCGGAGCGTCGAATAGCAGGCCCGGCGCGAAAGGCATTGGCAATCAAAACCGGGTCTCTAGTTTCTAGCGCTCGGCCCGCTGTATCCACATACAAGCGCATGTAGGCCAATCGAAGCAGAGCCGTTGAATTGAAAGCAACAGGACCATTCCGGTTCAAGGGATCGAGCGAAGACTCGGGGTTTTGGCGCCATCCAGTTTGCCAGTTTCGGAGTGCTTCCTCGAGCGACGCAACATCTCCTGCGCTGAGATCGCCGGGGCCGTCATACCTGCAGCGCGCCACTTGGCGAAGAAAGAAAATGTGCTGGATCAGGGCGTGAATGAGGGCGTAGTTGCCAGAAGACGAACTGAATTCGGTGACTTCCCGACCTTGTTTTGTAAATAAGCGCTTCAAAGCGTCCTGGAACATAACCTCTGGAGGACTTTTCTTCCTGGCCTCTCTCCACAAGGCCTCGGTAGGTGCTTTGAATTCGGCTACATTGCAGGGCAGTGGAAGCTTGACCTCACTTGTCAACAGAAACGGCGGAATGTTGTAAACTATACAGTGTAGGTTAGAGAAGCCGTATACGATGAATTTGGTTCTCTTTATAGTTTCGCGGTGGATCCAATCTGTCCAGGAAATGTCGCCGCGGAGTGGCTCCATCTCAAGGCCGTCATCGCGAATGAGCGTGGCCAAGATACTCTGTATAGCAAGCGCTTCTCGTAGAATTTCCTTATGCTTAGCCCACGTCGACAGTGCCATGAGTAAAAGCAGGGCTTGTGACGTCTGCATAAGGTCTTCTCCATAAGCAACAGTGTCTTCAGGCGGCAGGCCAAGCGGATCCGTGCTGGAAACCTTGCGCGGAGGACTGCGCATATAGGATTCAGCTTCGATGTTTTGCGAGGATGGAGAGGCTGAATCTGAAAGATTTTGCATCTTCACCAGCCTTGCGTCGCGCTTCTTGATCCGTTCTATCGCAATCGCTTTGCTGACGTTGAAGAGCTGTGCCCCTTTGTCGGCTTCAAAGGTATACTGTGCGCCAACTGCCGCCATTGCCAACAGTAACTCAATTGAGCAATTGTCCACAGACATGGTGGATATATGGAGGAATGGCATGTGTTGGTGGAAGCTGTTGATGTATGCAGCAAAATACCTGCACAAAGCTAGTCGAGTTGGGAAAACAAAGTCGGAGGGTACGACAGAGGAGAACTGTGTGAGCATCTCAAAGACTTTCTGCCGATCTCCATGTGAAACATCTGTGATTGACTTTTTCCGTGGTGGTAGTTCTTGCGTAGAATCATCCGGTTGCAAGGAAGGGAACCGGGACCCAAAGCGCGAAAGCGAAGGGGGCTCATCCACTTGGCAATGCCGCCAGGCAGGAGTCGGCATCGTTGTTTTATTAGGGTCGGATATCATCTGCTGCTCGTAGCCAAACGAGTCTGGCGAGAAGAACGGCATAGGCTGTTCAGCATTGATCAGAGACGAAAAGTGGTATGAGTCCAATGGCTCACTATCAAGGAACATGGTCAGATTGTCCAGCGATCCCGGGAAAGTAGATGCGTATATATGCGTGGAAGGTTCAGTGGATATGACCGGATGGTGGGTTTCTACTGTAGTAGCAACGGCCTCGGGTTGGGTGGACATGGGTGTAGCCATGGTATGCGCAGTTCCATTTCCCATGCTGCCGTGAAGTGACTGATACTCGGCAGCCATGGAGAGTGCTGTCAAAGAGTATCCGCTATGGTGGCCGAAAGTCATGGTTGCATGGGGTGTGGAAGGCGGGTGTTGAGTTGACTGGACTTCCATGACGGCAGGCGAGGACATCATGCTGGGAATCTCCGGGACTGGGCGCCCACAGTCGAAGCTGGAGCGCGTTCGCTTGTGTGGGCGCGTCTCAACAGGGGTATCAACAGGCTCAGCGGGAGGAGACTGCTGGCGATTCTGCTGGTTATCCTGACCTTTGCGATGCGTGAGGCGCTCATGGCGCACGAGCAGATCGCTTGACGCGAGAATAAGTCATTGGCATGGCATCAGAGAAGGCGGCGTACCTTCTGGTGAATGAATAATTGCATTCTGAGCAGCTAAAGGGCTTGACGCCGCTGTCTTGAAGCACGTCAGAGGCGGGCTGGGCGCAGGATGTTCATGACTCGACTTACGAATGCGCTCATGTCGCTGCAAGTGCTCGAGCCTCGCAAAGGCGCGCTGGCAATGCGAGCATTGGAAGCGCTTCTCCTTCTTGCCAGGCTGGGCTTGAGTGTCTTGCCCTTCGCTAATGGCGGCTTCCATGAAGAGCCAATGGCAGCTCTGCCGTCAGCGCTGTGGCTCGCTCTCGGGATTGGTGGAGCCGGTCGTGGCCAGATATCGGAGCAGAGCCAGGAGCCTGTGTGGGTTGTTTTGGAGACGGTGGGATAATGTGTGTGACAAGGTCGGAGACAGATTGCAGCTGTGTGGGGAAGAGGTTAAAGTGTGGAGTGCTGCCGGTTGATATGCGGGGTGCTGAGGGAGCCGGCAAAGCCACCAATCAGTCTCTTGGCATGGCCGCGGCGGGCTGTGTGTGCCCATGACGAAACGAGGACGTGAGATTGTTTCTTGTCTCTGGCAGCAAGAGGCTTGTATTGTGATGATTTGGGTGTCTAGGCCACGGCAATGCTGAGTGCTGAGCACTGCCAACACACGCACGCGAGTCACATGTTCGCCGCTCGGGCCGCGCAGTCCCCGGGGGGCCCCTCCCCCTCGCCCTCCCCACCTCGTCCCTCTGCCGCCATCGCCACAAGTAATCAATAAACACAACACGTCCCACAGCTCCGCGCTCTTCACGCCCGGGCGCTTCGGTTGCCCAGCTCTCGAGGCATCTCGCCCTTCTCGGCCATGTCGTCCAGCACCTTCTCGGCCGTCTTCATGGCATCCACGCCAGCCGGCACCCCGCAGTATGTCGTTGCGTGGATAATGGCCTCGCGGATCTTCAGCTCCGACAATCCGTTGTTCCTGGCCCCCCGGATATGGACTGCCAGTTCAGGGGCACGGTTGAGGGCCATGAGCATGCCGATGTTGATTAAACTTCGCTGTTTCTTGTCGAGACCTGAACGCGTCCACGCGTAGCCCCAGCACATCTCGGTCACGAGTTCCTGCCCGGCGCGCGAGAACTCAGTCGATCCGTTTTCGAGTGCGCGGTTGACGTACTCGTCTCCCACGACGCTGCGTCTCATCTTCAGCCCCTCATCGAACAGGTGCTTGTGTAGCTCGTCGTATTTCGGGTCTGTCGACATGGTCAATGCTCGTCAAGGACGCTGCCGGCGGCTGGGTGACACGAGATGGGCCTTTTAGCAGTGCTTAGGAGAGCAGATGAAATCGCAGTGCAGAGTGGCTGTGGGAGGAATACAAAGAAGACACGACGGTAACTGTTGGGCCACTTGCTTGTGCAGGGCGGATTGGCGGCACCCTCTCGGCCGTTACCCCACCCCGGAGCTTCCCCAACTTCCCCACGCCTGCACTATTGAATATGCACGACTAGCCGCAGAGAGGGGCCATCGCTCATGCTGAGTAGTACATGCAGTTCCATGCATCTGAATGAGGGGTTTTTCTCACCACTTGATTTGCCGCTCATGGGCCGTTCGACGTGGCCTGCCAGTCCTCCTGTCCGCCAAGATAGCGATAAACCACGCGAGAGTCCAGGTCTCTACAACGTTCATCGTTTGCGGCTCCATCATATGTCTCCAGGGCAACATCACCCAGCACGTTTCGCGAGCCCACTCTCTTCGCCATGTCCAGTGCCAAGCCAATGTCCTTGCGCATCAACTGCACCTTGAAGCCTTGCTTCCATCCTCCAGACGATGGCGATTCAGCGTAAACATGCGGAACAGGGCAGAACTTGTCGCATATGGTATTCTGAGCTGTCCCTGCAGCATACACCTTGGCCAATGTACGGGGATCCAGTCCACTGCGCATGCCCATGTCAAAGGCTTCGGAGCAGGCTATCGCAATTATGCCAGAGAGGTAGTTGTTTGACAGCTTTGCTGCGAGACCGAGCGACGGCCCCCCGCAGGGTATTATCTGCCCGCCCATGAGACCCGCCAAATACCTGAGGCGTTCCATGTTCGGGTCCGACTCTGCGCAGCCCAGGAAAAAGGCAATGGTACCTTTGATCGCGCCCACCACACCGCCGCTAACGGGAGCATCGTAGAAAGCAGCCGAGGCAAAGTTTGTATCAACATGATCCTTCACTGCTAGACTTGTTGCCGTGTCTATCGTCGAGCAATCGATAAGCAGTTTGTTCGAGATGTCAGTACTGCATACGCCGTTATCGGGATCGAGATATACAGATCGCACGTGCGCTCCCTCAGGTACCATGGTTACAATGATGTCCTGCTCGCCGGTCAGTGCTGATGACATGCATTTCAGCTTCAACATACAGCTTGCTGGGCGACATCTTTCGCGCTCCTCCCTTTCAATACCCTGTTGGGGAACTCGGCACATGCGTCGTCTACCGCTTGTTCAACCACATCATAGACCCATATGCGCGAATCTTCCGGTAGCTTTCTAGCTAAATGCGACATCATTGGTAATCCCATGGCACCCAAGCCGATCAATCCGAGCCTTTGAAACTGATTCGATTGCGACATCTTCTTTGACTGTGAAAGAGACTTGGGGGGCGGTAGGGGTTCAACTCGAACGACACCAGATAAAAAGGTCAATATCACAGCTAGATTCTCTACGGGAGTGTAAAACACGTCGAATCGCCTGTATCCATAGTAGCCGAATAGCGATTACTAATGTGGGGTAAATCGTCTCCACCAGGCGATTCAATCGACTTCCCCAAACCCGGTCACGTGCATCTAGCCGATCCCAACTAAGCGGTACCGATTGAATCGAGGGTAAGAAATTAGGCACAGGTCATGTGCCGTGTGAAGCTATCCTCTTGGCCACCTTCAGCCCGGTATTTCCCAGCAAACAACATAGAACTCGAAGACGCCAGAAGGCTGATCCAGGCCACTCTCACAATCAATAAGAAGAAGATGGCTGTTGTTTCAGTGCATGCCCTGTCCTGCGGACATTTTTCACTTCCAGAGTAACGTCAAAGTATAGCGAGTGGCCGAGAATAGCGAGTGACCGAAAATGCCAAGCCCCCATCAACTTTCACTACTACTCGCGATGTCTCAACAAATTCATTCAAAAAAGTCTTCAAAAGAGTCTTAAGTACAGCTTGCAATTCAGGCTATTAAATGCAACGCGACAATTAACATTCCACGCGCTGCAGCTCTCTACAACGTGCCTAAACGTACCCTAAGACGAAGACTCGCAGGAAAGCCTTCTCGACAAGATTGTTCGCCTAACTCAATGAAACTACTTATAACAGAAGAGGAGGTAATTGTTAAGAATATTCTTAATCTTGATGCAAGAGGATTTCCGCTGCGCCTTTCTGCTGTCAAGGATCTAGCTAATTCTTTGCTAGCTGCCCGCCACCGCGACCTTGTTGGCCCTAACTAGCCTAAAGCATTCATAAAGCGTCGCCTAGAGCTTAAGATAAAGTTTAATCAAAAGTACGACTACAAGAGAGCCCTCTGTGAAGATCCTAAGCTTATGCAGGGCTAGTTCCACCTTATACAGAATACCAAAGCCAAGTATGGGATCCAGGACGACGACATGTACAATTTTGACGAGACGGGCTTTATAATGGGCATGCACAACTCGTTAGCAGTAGTCACAGCCTCTAATCGTTAATTAAAGCCAAAATCTCTGCAGCAGGGCAATAAAGAGTGGGTTACCAGCGTGGTTTATGTCAGCGCAGCTGGCTAGGCGATCCCACCCTTCATCATCTTTCAGGGCAAGCACCACCTCTCTGCCTGGTACAAGGAAGACAGCCTGCCTAGGGATTGGGTTCTCGCAGTCTCTAAGAATGGCTAGACAACAAACGAGCTTAGTATGAAGTGGCTAGAGCACTATAACAGGCATACAAAAGAGCGTACTGTTGGAGCCTATCGCCTACTCATTCTAGACGGTCATGAGAGCCACAACTTAGTCAACTTCTAGCAATACTGCACAGAAGCAAAGATTGTTACTCTATGTATGCCTCCGCACTCTTCCCATCTACTGCAGCCTCTTGATGTGGGGTGTTTTTCGCCTTTGAAGAGGGCATATGGGCGCTAAGCCGAGGAGCTGATGCGCAATGGGATCAACTATATGACCAAGATAGAGTTCTTGCCAGCCTTCTAGCAAGCCTATTTTTAGATAGTTACAAAGGATAATATCCTAGGAGGGTTTCAAGGCGCTAGATTGGTTCCACACGACCCAGAGGTGGTGACATTAAAGCTGGATGTTAAGCTGCGCACCCCTTCACCACCTGCTGCTGAAAATCTACACTGGCAGTCGCAAACCCCAAGCAACACCCTAGAAATAGGGCTGCAATCGACGCTGGTGAAGCAGAGGATTCAAATGCACCTAGATAGTTCACTAACAAGTATGCTAGGTGCTGTTGAAAACCTAGTTAAAGGTGCGACTACTATTGCGCATGAGTTGGTGTTAGTTAAGAAACGGGTCTCTAAGCTTGAAGCAGCGAATAAAGCCGCCACGCGAAGGAGATCACACAAAAGAAAGCGGCTATAGAAAGGAGAGACCCTAATGATTGAAGAAGGAGAGAAACTGGCAACTCTAAAGGAGTCTGGGGCGCGTGGTAGTGGGAAGAAGGCAAAGAAGGGAGAGAGCGCTGAAGTAGGCGAACCGTCGCAAAGGCGCTGTAGACGCTGTGGTGAGACTGGACACAACTCGCGCACCTGCAAGCAAGATGAAGAGGTTAATTCTAAATAGATTAGCCTTTTCTAATTTCAATTTACTGTTGTTGTTGCGCTGTAATGGTTGCGCAACGGTGGTGAGGTTGATGGGGGCTTGGCATTTTCGGTCACTCGCTATTCTCGGCCACTCGCTATACTTTGACGTTACCAGTTTGTGCATCCTGTTTCTCGAGAGGCACGCCGAACAGTCCCTTCTCTAGCGTTTCTGATCCAGCATGTGAATCAGACTACCGGTAAACGAACGCGACTCGTCTTCGACCTAGGCCTCAGAAGAGACGTAAACCGATATGCATCACCGATACAAAAGCATATCGAGACCAGGCAGCCGTTGAGCACTGAGCCAGATGTCATTAAGAGCCTCGCCAAGGGCGGCTTGAAGCCGGAGGACATTGACTACGTGATTTTCTCGCATGTAAGCAACCCCGCATACGTGGCTGGTGGCGGATGAGTGATTTTTGCTGTGGCAGGTACACTGGGACCACGTCGGCGAACCCCGAGACTTCCCAACATCAACTTTTATCGTCGGACATGGTGCGCTTAATCTTCTCAAAGGCACCTCGCCATCGCTTCGAGGCGGCCACTCGTTTTTCGAAAGTGATCTCTTACCGGAAGTCCGGACCACGGAACTAGCGGAGCCCGTGGCTTATGGACCGAAGCGGCATGATCCATGCGCGATACCAGGGGAAATCAATCTCAAGGGGCCTTGGAAATCTTACGGCCATCTTCCAGAGGCTCTTGATCTCTTCAACGATGGTTCACTACTTATTATTAATGCACCTGGCCATCTTCCAGGGCACATTAATCTCCTGGCACGAACGTCGCTGTCCCAAGAAGTCTATATGGCCGGCGATGCATGCCACGACAGAAGGTTGTTAACTGGAGAGAAGACGATTGGAGAATGGCACGATACACACGGCCAGGTGTGCTGTATCCATGCTAACCGGAAGCAAGCCGAGGAGACTATTCAGAGGATTCGACTGCTAGAGAAAGAAGGGGTCGAGATTATTTTTTCCCATGACGATGAATGGGAAAACAATCCAGCGAACAGCAGCCGATTCTTTGGCGCATGAGAGCATGCCCATAAGTAGCGCATCACTACACCTGTTGTAAGCCCTATTTATCTGTAAAATTCACATCTTAAAGACCTACATCTACATTTCGAGCGACCGTAAACGTTGATGTTTGGTGTGAGTGGAGCAGATCATGCATGTTACCGATCCCGTCCTTCCCCACACCGGCGTGTTGGGGACAAGTGGGGTCTGGTTGCTAATCGCGAGCCCGCTCCACACCGTCTGGAACTTGTAGCTAGTGTCGGTAGATTCTAAATCTGTCAAGGATAGGCAGATACTAGCTCCTAGCTGTTTGCAAGCCCCGGTTTTGATCAACCTGGATTCTCCCGATCGCCATGTCCAAGAACTATCAACTACAAGCCGCGACTTTCTGACCATCTCAAAGCACTTACTCATACCAACCACTTACACGCCCATCATACACCAACATGGCACTTTCCCCAGAGCAGCAGAGCCTCAAGACTCGTTTTGACGCGGAACTGGGCGCTGCAGCCTTTGACGAGTCGTGGTCCCGGATGCTCAAACACTCACCAGAAATGTTCGCTGCAGCACTGCGACTCACAGCCGTACCAAAGAAGACCAACCATCTATCACCCAAAACACAAGCTCTAATTTCCCTTGCCGTAAGCGCAGCAGCCACACATTTGCACGTGCCCAACATCCACCGATACACGCGGGCCGCCCTCGCAGCAGGCGCCTCGCAAGCCGAGATTGTCGAAACACTATGTCTGACATCGACGCTCGGGATCCACGCCTCCACCGTGGGCGTCCCCCTCCTCTTTGAAGTCCTCGAAGAGCGCGGCGAGGCCATCCAAACAGGGCCGTCGGGCATGACGCCGCAGCAACTAGCCCTCAAGCACGATTTCGAAACCAAGCGCGGATACTGGAACAAAATGTGGGAAGAACAGCTACTCATCGCCCCGGACTTCTTCGATGCCTACACGGAATTCAGCTCTGTGCCGTGGACGAATGAGGGAGGTAAGGGCGTGCTCGAGCCCAAAGTCAAGGAACTGATTTATTGTGCGTTTGACTCGGCCGCCACACACATGTACCAGCCGGGCCTCAAGCTGCATATGAGGAACGTGCTGAATTACGGGGGCACAAAAGAGGAAATCATGGAGGTTTTGGAGTTGGCTACGCTGTTGAGTCTGAGTACGTTGGATGTTGGGCTCGAGATGTTGGATAAAGAGTTGGCGAGGGAATGAAGCAGGCAGTGTTTACTTGATCCACATGTGTTTGCTCGTTTCCATCATAACATGATAAACGGGAATTTTCCAGTTCGCCCAGGACTTTAACATTTTCTAGCAAACAAGTTCTCAAGCCCACGGCTCCATGTCTACGTCTCATCACTCTCATTCAGCCACTTATACACGACCCTCGCATCCTTACCCTTGTACCTCTCATCCCGCATGACCTCTCCAAACGCCTCCAAAGTCGGTTTATCCAGCACTGTTTTCGCGCCGACCATATCCGCCAACTGGCTCCCCATCTGCAGCACCTTTGCACACAGCTCAATGCGAAACCCACCTTCATATCCCCGTGAACTCGGCACATTGGCCTGGATCCCCGGCACGGGATTCGACTTACTCGTCACCCAGCACTGGCCGCCAGACACGTTGATGACGTCGGTTAGCAGCGCGAGATCGAGCCCCATTTTGGCGCCGATGTTGAGCGCCTCCGAGGCCGCGAGCGACGTTATCGCGCTGAGGTAGTTGTTGATGACTTTGAAGGCGGTGCCGGCGCCCACGTCACCGCACAGGAAAATCGTGTCGGGGCGTCCCATGTAACTGAGATATTGTTTCGCCGTGGGGAATATCTCCTTGGTGTTTATGCCCGCCATGAAGGCCAGCGTGCCGTCTTGCGCGCCCATCGGTCCGCCTGACACGGGCGCATCGACAAATGCCAACCTACTGGCGGCGGGAGATGCTTCTGCTGCCCTGGCGACTTCTAGTATCGTGCTGGTTTCAATGGTGCCGCATTCCATAATGAGTTTCCGCGCTGTAGAAGATGCCGCTGGTGCATCTTCCACCCCGGCTAGCACGCCCCTGTCTTTGTCGAGGTACACTTGCTTCACGGCGTTGGAGTCGGGAAGCATGGTGATGACGGTGTCTGCTCTTTGCGCTGCTTCATACCCTGTTTTTACGACTTCGACGGGCCCTTGGTCGGCGGCTTCTTGCTGGAAGCGCGAGAGAGCCGAGCTGGATACCTCGCAGATGAGGAGGGTGTGGGTAGAGTCGAGGCCTTTGCGGAGATTCAGCGCCATGGGGAAACCCATTACCCCCAGGCCTGTAAAATATCAATGTCAGTTGGGTGGGTTTGGGTGTGTGTGATTAGGGCTGGATGGCGTACCGATGAACGCGACGGTCTTGTCCGGTGGAGACATTATGGGAAGAGTACTGTAAATCAAAAGAGTTTCAATATTGAGTTATTGAGACTTCTCCAACACGACAGCTTTTCTTTCAGTGATGGTGAAAGTCCCCGATTCAATCAAGACGCAGGTTGGCGTTATGCGGTTAATGCACAAAGATCCAACAAACTACCAAAATACATGGCTATGTGATACGACTATATCGGCACCTCCATCAGCGATATTGCTGACTCGAGATATTCCCCACCTTCCCACTCAATATACCAAGCTGTTGTGTTACTGTAGATGCGACCCCGCCTTTGACCCCGCTCTTGGGGAAGGCCATGTCGCTTGCCTCCCCCACATGCCTACACATTGACATCCAGAGTAGGCAATCCCTCGTATGCACGCACTACCTTGTGTATAATATTAGTATATGTTGCAGTATATGTAGTCTCTAGCGGAATATGTTAAAGAGCTAGTCCTTTTTTTTTTGCTTATTAACATTGTAATATTGATTGCTGTATACATTGTGACTAGTGAAATGATATAGAATAAAGGACAAGGAACAGGCCTCAATCCGCAATAGTTAGAAAGGTATAGCCAGGAATACTAGCGCCAGACTTTCGTGTGTGACCTTTTTTATTTCTCCGTAGTTATATTTAATAGCTATTGTTGGTATGCGCGGCCTCATATCAATCACGTGAGCATTAATATACCAGTATATACTTGATTGCGTTGCGAACTCCACCACGTCCGCACGTCGAAATCACTCAGAAAATGAATACACGGTATACTTACAGCACCTTATCAAATAGACTTGGCGCGTGCAATAGAAAATGGTAATAACAAATCCATACTCTACTCACAAGGAACCCCTTATCGTCGTAGCCGGGTTTTCGGGCAGGTATTATTCTCCCTGAGAGAATTTGTACTCAACCCTAGTAAGACACTGTTCCTCGATTATCGAGTACATGGTATCTGCAACAACACGCCATTTCCCAAGGTGCGTCGCTTCTGACTCGCCTGAGTCGTCTACAGACACCGCATTTAGTGGGAATGCTGAGACGCGTCCCCACAGTAATTAATGATAATGGGGTCACGCCATGGATCTTGATTTATCTTCATTGGGCACTCGCGAGAAAGAATCTTACTTCAGCCTCACATGCTGACTGCAAAGTTTCTCAACTACAAGAAATCACGCTGCTAATTTTAACTTCAGCATCTTCGTACGAATCGCAATCCCGAATTCAGCTAACCACACCAGAAATTCGGTGCGGCTCAACACACGCGGTTTGGTAGCTTTAATAAGCCTCTCCACAAGCGATAGGCGCATCCAATGGGGCGTCTAAGACACATCCAGGTAGCCTACCCATGTGAATTGGACTTAATTTCCCCCATTGTGTGGTTCAACCATCAAACTAACGTGCTTACTTATCAATCTAGCGTGTAGAAACCCCATTTTCCCGCTGCCGTTGCCATGTCACCCCCCATCAAAATATGCAGGACAACAGGCAGACGTGAAACATGCTAAAAGCTGATTCTCAAAAGAAAGGTTGTGTTATTTTGGTGATAGCGAGTTGGAGGGGGGCAGTTTGATGACATACATAGACACGGACTGTACATCCGAAAGCACCCAGGAGAGAGAAGATTTTATTTTTAATTTGGATTGGAATGAAATATTGAAGATGCAAAAGCCCCAAGGGCATACGTCATTTAGGTTTAAGCCATGTTTCCTTATGGATCTGGGATTTGTTTTGGAAGGGGGGGGGTTGTAGCTGGCCGGATGGAACTTTCTGATATAAAAAAAACTTGAAGATCTGCTGGGAATACGTGTACGTGGCTACGCGCAGGGGGGCTAGCGGGTAGACTAAGATTGTTTCTACCAACGAACGCGGCAACAGCTGGTCTGAGAAAACACCGGAAGCCCCCATGGCATTCGTTCCGCGGAAGTAGACGGACGACAAGAAGCGAGATGTTGGACCCAGAAGGGAGAAGCAACACACTGGGTTGATTTAGTGCCCGACACCTCGCGTGTAGGTTTATCCGCCAGGACCCTTTGTGCTGCAAAAGTATGAGAGGCGCAGCTGAATGGGATGACGTGGAGTGATGCTTGTGGTCAAGAAGAAACGTCGAGATCTTCAAGCAAGGTCATCCAGGCGGAGCATTCACTCGAGAAGAATCAAAGGCCCCGGGAGGCCGAGCTCGCTGCCGGAACCGCCATTGCACAATTCGGTAGATGCGAATTGAAGCCGAGCCGAATTTGTCAAATGTGTAGAAGACCGGAAGTAGCCTGCTTCTCACCCGGAGATATGGTGGAGAAGTGATCAAGTGAGCGAGTAGACTTGGAAGATGGAAGAGCAAGCTTTCAAGAGTAACATCATTCAAGATGGATTCATAGAGAGCAGAAATCCTCCAGACCATGAAAACGTGATTATCCCCTGGCAACATCGTCAGGAAATCAATATCCGACTCTACTCTCCCCTCTCCCCCCTTTCCTAGTCGCGATGCTCACTCCTCAGGCACTACTTCCTCATCGCACCAACAACACGGTACCCAACCGCCACTCGACCCACTCGCCCAAAAATGGCATCTTTTTTGCATCCTTCTCCACCCCCCTTCGCATCTTGAATGTTGCACAACAAATGCTTTCGCTTCATTCTGCCCATCCAAGACGTGTGGTTTAGTTCCGATCTGTAAATCCAAGTTATATTTTATGATGGCGAGGTCACGATCGGGGGGATCCGGCGTGCCATCAGGAAATGATTTTTTTCGTCTTGCACAAGGAACAAAAAGGAACAACATAGCCTTTGACGTCCAGGTGCCGGTATGAGGGGACGGGGTGTGAAGATCCGGAAGAAAAGACTCTTTCTGTCTGTCTGTCTGTCTGTCTCTCACACCCACCAGCGGTAGTCGTGAACAAAAGGCTCCATGCAAGTGCAATGCTGGAGAGCACGGACACTTTTTTTTCTCTATCTCGCTTTTTTTTTCTCTTCATGACCCTCACCCTCCTTCATGTCTTTTTTATCCCCGGCTCACACAAGTCTCCGAGTAAACGACTGGTTGCGTAGCTGTGTAGTCATACGCATGGGCCTGGTGTAGATCCAACTTGGCATGCGTGGCTTGAGCAGCCACACAAGGACGGGGGGGTCGGAGCGATCGACAGCCAGCCACGGGGGACGGGGGGGGATAAGGTTGGCCTGGCCTCCCAAAGGGTGTGCATGTAAGGACATGGTAAAGCAGAAACTAGCAGACTGGTGTGATCCTTGCTAGGTCATCTGTGTGTTAGCAAGCCAGAATTTCTTTGGGTGGTGGGCAGTGCGGCCTTTTTGTACTTTTTTTCTTTTAGATTCTTGAGCGTTATTCTTTTTTTTTCTCGGCGGAGAGGGGGGGAGGGGGGAGTGGGTATCCTTGACCATGTAAAAAGCAAACGCTCACTCCCCCCCTCCTCCCCTTGTTTCGAACTTTGTTTGCTCATTGCTGTCTGCCCACTAGAAGGAAATAAGCAAAGCAGTGTTTTTCGGGCGCAAACAAAGAAACATGAAAGAGAGACACAGGCCACGCAGTCTTGCGCTCGTTGAGGATCCTCATAATCAGGTCGCTTGGTTGGTGCCGCTTGGAGAGGCCGAAAGGGGGTTAAGGGTTCAATCCACTGGGTTTGCCTGCAGCGGGTTGTAATGGTGTGCGTCGTCCGTAGAGGTCCAGTTGTGTGTAGTGGGCATAGGCGTACAGGCAACAGGCAGTCGTGGTATGTGCATTTGCTCCGGATTCCTATCTTGAGGTATTACTCAGTGGCGTACTCATCTCATCCACATGGTCCAATCCAAGGCGTTACAGATAGTGCATGGCTTGAAGAGTGGATGCCAGTGGTAGAAGACACCCTGGTAGACTGCGATGTCGATGTCGATGGAAGGCTATGGTTTCACAAAGGTGAACGATCCCGATGTCCAGAGAGCATGGCGGTGCTATCGCGAGGTGTGTATCGTACGTAGTGGGTGGTTAAGTAGTACCATCTCGATACTATGTAAGCAGGCAAACCTGAAATCCCATCTGCGTCATAGCCGTCTGTGTCTGACGGGCCGTTTCGCACTTGCTAACGATGCCGATGTTCGTAGATCACGAGGCTCTTGCTCTCACCGACGAGAGCAGTTCAAGCGTCGACCTGCGATCTCGATGACGGTCAGCTGCCCTATACTACCCTTGACATATACCTGCAGTCTAATTACGGCAAGCAAGGGAAGGCCCGTCGCAAAGGTGGTGTACGATCCCGATGGCTGTAGATCGCGCAGGTGTGGGTGTTGGAAAGGTGGCTGTCTACACACGTCGAGATCGAGATCGCAATGGTAAGAAGCACATTTTGTAAACTACCGTACGCCTACCACACGCTTGAACGCTATCGCCGCGTGAGCAGGCTAGGGAACGCCCGTTTCACAACCGCCAGCGATTGCGATGTGAGTGGGCCGTAGAGCGTTATCGAATGAGGTACGTGGCTACAAAGTAATCTCGATCTCTCGATCCCCATAGCAAAGAAGCACTCATGTACCGGAGTCTACTGTCCTTTCTACGAGACCCACCCCCAGATCGGAGGTTTCGTAACGGTGAACCACGCCGATACTCTCTAATCGCTGCTTGGTCATTGCTATGGGCGGAGGTCTACACCGTGTATTCTAGTGTAGTTGGATTTGGGAGGACAAAGTAACATAGAGGCAGAGAGTGGGGAGGATGAGGTTGGCTTGGGACAACGATCTCGATGACCGCAGGCATGCATCTGGTATCTCTCTCTATTCTAGGGAGATCACCGCATGGATATATCGAATGTTTCACTCATCTGTCGATTTCGATCGCTGTAAACCTGTTTCTCACGTATACAGGCATCACTGTTTGTGTGTGTGGGGGGTGGGGGAATGTCTGTATCGCGCCTAGTACTCGACACTTATCTATGAGATCATTTGGGGGGGGGGGGGCAGCAAAGGAAGAAAAGAAAAAGTAATAATGTGGGTGTGGCGCGTATTGGCAACCCTCACAATGTCTCCTTCTGGACGGTGGAGTTATTGGAAATCCTAAAGCCATGTAGTATACTGAACATGGGGTGTGTGTGTGTGGACATTGAGCGTGACCACAACTTGGTTGCACACCAACTGGGTAGAGGGTTGCTGCGCGAGCCACACGCAACAAAAAGCGTCGTGTGCGCGTTTGATAGAATGATTTGCTGCAGCCTTCATTCGTAGAGCATGCGGTAGCCACGGGCGAATGAGCGTTGCCAGTATGATATGCCCTCTCTGGAATACCAGCGCTGCTCCCCTCGTCCCCCTTGAACATCTCGGACCCGTACCATTCAACACTCGGCGCAGCGAATCCAGCCTCACACAACTCCAACGCAACCGGGCCATTTGTTCGCTACAACACCGCACAGTACCACGACAGTAGCTAGTAAGGTAGTCAAATAAACCATTTGCGCAAAGGCCACACCACAATGCCTCTTTTCTCCCCAACACTGCAACCCTTTCTTTGCCCTGCCGCTCTCTAACCTTTACCCCCCCCCCCCCCCC